TTTGCTTAGAACTTGTATAAAAAAGACAATGTTAAAATCTTGTAATTTTGCACATGTTAAAAACTCAAAATGGAATTGGCTTTAGCTGAAAGTCATAGGGACTTGTGTGCTGCACTATTTGATAAGTCCAAAAGTAGGGTTGGCATTGATTGCAAATGTTCATGGCATTTCCAATATGAGGAGCTTATAAACTCACTTGAGATGAAAATTATTAAGATGTATAAGTATAAGTAGATTTAACTTGATATGAGAAGTTCTATATTAAACAAATTTAGGCCTAATAAGTAATATATAATAAAATAGAATGATCCATGAACTCAAGCATATTAATGTTTTGGAGTTCATATATGACATCTACTCTTCATCGCCCAATCGTTCTCTCCCCTACCTTTCTAAGATGGTTTGCTCCTTTTTAATAACACAATCAATTATATATTTATGTATATTTTTATGATTGTGCATAAATTTATAATATACCAAAACATTTATAAGTCCTAAGCAATGTATCTCCCTACGTATAACAATCAATAAAAAAAATTAGCTTTAAGCTTGCCCTTTTATTAAAAAATATTAGACGTAACATCAATTATACATCTATAATCTTTGTATATTCATATGTTTAAGAACAAATCTATTTTTTTAATCTGAATTTAGTTATAAATTTATAACATCAAAATACTGTTTATGAGTATGAGCATAGTGTATCGAATTTTCCAAGCTTCATGATGAGGCAACTTGCATCTATATATGTATAATAATCAGTAAATAAAAAGTGAGAGGTTTTGAAATGTATAGCTGGGAAACTTTGGCAGAAAAAGAAACACTTGGAAAACGAAAGAACCCAGTTACCAAAAAACACAAAGGTATACTATCAGCTAGAGAGGTAGGGTTTGGTTCATCTTTATTAATATTATTACTATTTTGTAAAAGCTTTTTATTCTCTCTCTGCTTCCTCGAACAGCACGCAAGCTCCCTCCAGCACGCAGCCATTGGTGATGAGGTTATTGCCTCTGCTCTGCACCTGCATGTGCCTCTCTCACTCTCTCTCATACAGGCACAGACATATATATACGTATAATATGATGAACAAGCATGAAGCTATATATATATGTATATATAATGTGGTTTAGTGGTGATTCTTGGATTTAACAGAAAGAAAACACGCTAGCTTGTGTGGTGTTGGTGAGATTGTTGTACTGAGCTTGCTCCCCTTTTGAGGAGAAACCCAAATTGTTCTTTTGGTTTGGCTGAGTCTGTGTTCTTCATATTCATCTGATGATGTCTGTCTGTCTGTCTTTTTCTCTGTATCATCAAAAACCCTAACCCTCTTTGTCATGCGCATTCCCCCTCTAGTAAATTCCTGTCACGTGTTCTCTTCCTGGCCCTTCCCAATCGCTTTTTGTTTCTTTCTCTTTGTATCTAACTTTCACCTCATTATACTCTGTGCTTCCTTCTCCTTCTTCTTATACTACGCATTTAACTATCAACTTCACTTGTATAATACAAGAACAAGAAGCACTCCTGATTTTGCTGTTACAACTCTAATGATTTCATGTACCCCTCAGTTTTTATTTGCCAGAGAAACTGCCATTATTTATTTATTTATAAGCAAAATCATACTCTTTACATTCAAAATGTAAGGCATTTTTAATCAAATCTCATCTTTCAATAAAGTAGTTACCTACTTTCAAACTAACCTTATCTTTTCATATTTATCTCTATTAAATACCTTATAATAAATATAAAGTCATTATCAATAGCGCACTTTTAGAAAAAAAGGCAATAATTATATCTCAAAAGACTAAAAGTGTCTTATATTTTTTAACATCTAACTCTTCAAAAAATGTTTTATATTTTTGAACGGAGGGAATATATCTCAATGAACATTTATTACAAATTTTTTAAATTACCCCTAACAATTTAAGAAACAATTACTGCACACCTATGTTTATCAGCACAAGGTATTTTCGTTTTTTTTTTTCAAACCTAATTATTATAGTTAATTGATTTTCTGAAATTGTGTGATATGATTTTTTCTTATATATAAAAATAGAGGAAATACCTTTTAACACACAACGAAAAACTTATATATGTATATATATATTTCCCTTCATCCTATTTATAAGATGCCTAAAATATCTTTCTCGTGTTTTAAAAAAGTTATTATATTATTTTTTGTTTTACTTTTTATTTCAATCTTTCAACTATACCCTCATCAAAAATGAAGAGGAAAGTGATAGCTCATCTAGTTATCTGTCCAATACTTGATCAAACTAAGGGTAAAATGGGAAGATTATTCCAGTATTTTTATTAACGCTTCATGGTAAGGATTACTTTTTGTGTTCGCAAAACACCGTATAATAGGACTGGAGGGAGTAATATGTACCTCTCCTAACGTTTTGCTTTTAGTAATTTATATGAATATGTATTAAATATAAAATATATAGAAGATGCATTGTTGTTAAACCATGTATAATACAGCTTATTAATTCATTAAACTTTGTGGGTAGGTGATTAGGTTGTCACATTAGAAAAAAATTAAGCGGTACTTCAATTTAAACTTGAAAAGATATACTTCTAATGATCATAATAATGGAGATGGCGAAGCATATTTTGTCATGTTCTTGTCGAGAAAAGAGGACCTAAAATCCAAACAAACAAAGAAGCACAACACAAAACCTAAGGAGGCACAGGTACCTGAAACATCAAAATATGAGAACAATCCAAATACAACGTACATACACCCGCGAGATACTCAAAATTAGCAACATGATTAGCAGAAATATTCAGAGGGTATTTTAGGGCAAGGAAAGGAAAAGATTTTTCCTTTTTCATCGTACGAAAAGATACGTAAAATTTAATGTTTATTATATTTGTATTATTATTTAATTTAATGGTGAATGCAATTGCCATTCTTTCTTATTATTCAAACATACCAATAGCATTTTTCACAATCACTTTATAAATTTCATTTTGTTTTTCATCCTACTCCATTATACAGCCCAAACCACCTCAAGCGTAACAAGCAAAGCTTTTACAGTTCATATAATATGGCCTACATATTAGAGATCAATTAATAAGGAGAATGATATTTAAGGACCTCTAAAAACATTAATTACAATTAAGAATCCTAAAATTTTAAAATTTTCAAAAAGGACCATAGTTTTTAATTGGGATTGAACTTTTTCTAAGTTAATTTTTCAGCACTCATCTTCCCACAACTTCAGTATTCATCTTAAGCACTTTCAAGACTCAATTTTTTTTTTTAATTTTTCAGTAATCATCTTAGATGTTTTCAGCATTGAAACATTCCCTTTAATTCTTTTTATTAATAAAACCATGGAAGATGACTAGTATTTAAAAAATCTAATATGACTACTGAAAAAAAATAAAAAACTTAATAATGAAAATGCTAAAAATAACTATTAAAAATATAAAATATGAGTATTTAAAAATTCAATTAAAAAAATTTTAATCCCAACTAAGAAGCACAGTTTTCTTCCCCTGAAATTTCATAATTTAAGGTCTTTAGCTGCAATTAATGTTTTTAGACTGTCTTTAAAAATTATTTTCCCTAATTATTAATTTAAAAGGGAAGAAGGCTTGAAAAAGAATCATGGACGGGTCAAGACAAGCTCGAGGGGTCACTTTCTACCATGACTTTCCTAAACCTAACCCAACTCTAATTAAAACTAAGATCATAATTTTGTAGTGGAAGAAAAGTGAAATTCCAAAGCCAAATCCACATTTAAAAACATAACCCATCTGTAATCACTATTGGTAGACAAGATTGTCGTAATCAGTACGACTAAGATTATCTTTTAGAAGCCAATCTGCCTTTGAGTCGTCCTTGGCACACTAACAAACAATGGATATTTGCCAAGCTCTGATGCAACTTGCCTAACCAATTATCTCAAGTATATCATAAGATTCCATGATTTTTGTGAACGACAAAGCCTGGCCCAGGATAATCCACCACCTGAAAATGTTTTCAGAAAAAGAGTCTGTTATATACCAACTAATCAATGGCCCCAAATAGCATAAGCCCACATGGAAGCTCAAACTAAAACCTAAACTAAAAACTGTCCAGACAGCCTTATAGTTTCACTCTCGTTCCAACTGGCAAAATCTATGCAATGAAGGCTGATTCTGTTGGTAAGAAATTAATCCATAACTCAGACTCGGACAATTGTGAGTTCAAATTCAATGTGATGACTTTGTTGATAAACGATCTATAAATATTTTTATAAGTATTTTTTGAATCGAGAAGCATACGTTAATTTTTGTAAACCCTTGAGACCCAATTCACCTAAACTTATATATATATATATATAAAAAAAGTGGCAAAATAAACATTTGATATTTTAACTTTACACAAAATTTTATTTTAATTTTTTAATTTTAAAAAATGTCCTTTTAGTTATATTGAACTTTTAAATGTTAATAAAACAATATCTGATGTCAACATATTAAATTTAGATCACGTTTGTTTACTAAAAGAAAATAAAATGAAATTGATTAAAAAATAAAGGTAAAAAAAATAATTAACGAGGATATGCAAACATATTCATAAAAAGGAGAAATAATTTAATTTATAAAGTTGAAATCATGATTTATGAAATTTTTAAAAGCAACAATAATTCCCACAATTACATCATATATTAATAAATTTTTATCATGCTTATCATAAATGAAAGATGATTTAATTTATTTTTACTTTAATTTTTTCAATCCATTCTATTCTAATAGCCAAGGTGACTTTAATTTTTTAACATAACAATTGATACAAAAAAAAAATCATCATTTGAGACAAAATATTAGGAATAGTAAACTAAAAAAATATTTTATAAAATTAAAAATCCAAGCTAACATTTTATATAAAATTAAAAGATTAAAACTACACTTTTAAAACATATTCATAAGTAATATTTGTAACACAATACCCAAAAAAGGTCTAATGTGAATGTGGGTGTAAAAAGTGAATAAAGTTTGTGCCGTATAAAAGAATTTGTAATTAGTGGATTTCATGTATAGGCAGGGATGAATGAACCACACCATACACCACTTACGAATAGTTTAATTCCTGTTTCAATAAGCTAACTACTTTAATTCCTTGTAACAATTTTTTTTTTTGGATGTCATTAATTTTATGCAGCAGGGATAGCGGAACACTTGAGCTTCCAGTTTTACTGTTTTGCAACTCCCTCTGTTCACCCACAAAGGCACAAGCCCAAGGAGACAAACCAGAATGCAAGTTAGCCATCTCTCAACATGGAGAGGAGAGATGACTATGTTTGCATGTTTAGAAAGGATTCGTCCGGGGCATCCTCCTGCTTTACTTGCTATTTCCATTTGACTTGGTACTTGACAACTGAACATAATCTCTACTTTGACTGTGGCAGCTTCCTCCAATGCTTGAGCTTGCACGTGTTTGGTTTTACATTGAACACCACTAAAACCTCAGCGGAGTCAGGTTGAACTAGCTCTAAGTTCTATCTCAAGTCTTAATTACTTCAAGCTAGGACAATTTTGGCATGGATCCACCATTGTTAAGGAAGACGCACCCCTGAAATTTAAAGAACTTCATCACAATGAAGCCAAATGGATAAGAGACGCATCTTCCAGCAACCGGAGGCATTCTTGCGATCCATGATCCATTTTCAAGTACTCTTCCTGACGGACACGCAGCACACTCTGATAACTGATGGATCAATATAGTTATTCTGTGCAGACTTGTCAGCAATGATTATTAGTATTATAGAAAAACATGGTAAGTAAAACACAAAGGTGGGGTGGGGGGACACTAAGAGAAAGGAAGCTTTTTCACAGAAAAATTTACACTCTTTAGTTTAACTGCTGCCATTTCACAGAAGCTATCAGCTTTTTCACAGGACAGGTTGGACGGGGCAACTGTAAAGAGACCAAATTACCATGGAAATTTTATTGGTACAAAATGGGAACAGACAGTGGTTCATCTGAGCATAACCTTTTACTGGGGCAATGGAAGGAGTATCTAAATAATATTTTTCCAGACCCAAAGCATGCACTTGCACTAGATGTGCAATACTACCCTCCAACACCTAGAATCTTTCAAGTAATCCACCACTCCATATCTCAACAAGGGGTCTGTTTGGATCTATTAAATTGCAGTTTCAACTTGCCATTATTTGTCCTAGAACATCTTGTTCATGTTACGTGTAGGTCTGTGCAGGAAACTAAATAAAACAAAACCCATTCGTAGTAGTTCATAACAAAGCTCCGGTTTTCTTTCCTTCTTGCGGTTTCTCAAATCAAGAATTTTGATGTATTGGAGATTTCATAAATTAAAAAACAAAAATTATCTTAGGAATCCAACAATCAACCTGCGATGGATGTAAGTTGTGCTTCGTTGTTGCTGACAATATTCAGAGAGAAAAAGTTAGGGATGAAAGGAAGGAACTCATTGAAATATATTATTGGACTCAATGACAATGTGACATTATTAAACTAACCTTTCAACCTCTACCTATACCCCATGCTATGACCGTACAAAAACATACCCTTTATTTTGCATGCAGTACAAGGAACTCTTAAAGACTTGCATTAACTCCTTACTCCCTCTTAACGGAGTTCAATAGAAATAACTTCTCTTAAGTCTTAACCAAAAAGACTTTCCAAAATCTTTCACACCTCTTAACATCTGAGTCAGGAATTAATGTACAAGTTTCCCTATATATGTGGTTAGAAATAAAAAAGAATATCGTAGAAGCAATATATCAATCAAATTTCGTGGCATATGTTAAAAGAATAATTTAAGATAATATCACCCCTCATTTTGAACAATCGCCTCTCCATTACATAATATGAATGAAATAAGTCACATACACATCAAATAATCCAGCCAGTATCATCCACACGTAGGACACAATAAAAGAGCATTGACATATCAAGTTGCAATTATTGAACTCAGACACGCATGGAAGAGTTCATATATGAAAGCCTAATTACCACAGTATTTCCATCTAAATCTAGACAATACTTTCACAAATTATATATCCATTTGTCTACAAACAGCAAACTAATAGTTTGCAAAGAGGCATGTAACCTCCAATGTATACAATACTGGAAAAGAGATCATTATAATTACCGTAAAGCACCTTTTTTTTCCAAAGATACAGTACACTCTTGCCATTGTGTTCAAATAGGGACCTCACATGGAAATATACAGCCTTACAAAAAAGTAGGAAAATTAAAGATCAAGTCAAACTAAGCTATATCAATTGTTTCCGCAATTTTGAAACTGACTTTAATCAAGCATGCTGAATTCTCAGCGTAATTCACTTTTCTTTACTTCGATTATATTTTCGTAAGACATTTTAACTATCAAAGACTGTATTTTATTTTATTAATTTTTGTGTATTACATTGAAAAAACTAAGATACCTGAGCATGGGATTAGGTTAAAGCACTTCTCTCCATTTGGGTGCTTAAATGCTTGCATAGCTGTGTATGTCCCTGAAAGAAATAGAGAAAGAAGGAAAGACAACTGTAAGTTCATATGCATGATATGTAAAACTGTAAATTAATCTCAGTGGTCAGTACCTTCCAAGAGGTTCAAGCTTCATGGATAACTTCTCAACCTAAATGAAATAGGGGAGTTATATATGTGATTCTCTGAGGTATAGGGAGGTACTTAAATGTGAATTTGGTGGACTTGTTCCTGGAACCAAATCACCAATAGTCCTGACAAGAACAATATCCACCCTTGAAATGATGGAACCGTTTAACATCACGTACAACTATTTCTCTATTAGTAATGTCAGAGACAAGTTTCATATAATTATGGCAGTCACCACAGATGCGGAGGTTTTTAAAAATCCGGATCTGTTTCATAGGCGTAGTGCTCAAAAGTGCAAATGCAAGAGCCAATTTTTCACTATGATAAATGAGATAAACCTTTTTCTCTTCGTCAGGAACGTTATGAAGCACATGTTCTATTTGTGGGACATAACCCATTGATCTGAGTTTTTTATCAAGCTCTTCCAGTTTTGAATGAATTTCCAGTATATTTGGATGCACTCCATCACACACAAAGACATGTACTTGATTATTGATCTCTACCCAGCTACATCCAGGTTCCTTTTTCACACCTTGGCCGGACATCAACGCCCTCACTTTTTTGACTTCTGCCCACTCTCCCTTGCCAGCAAAAATGTTAGAAAGTAATATGTAATTTGAGTCTGTCTTTGGTTCAAGCTCAAAGATCTTCTTTGATGCCCGTTTACCAAGTTTAATGTTTCCATGTTTTGCGCATGCACCCAGAATGGTCTCCCAGACTAAGGCATTAGATGTCAAATTCATCTCCTCAATAAAGCTCTCAACCTCATCAAATCTTCCAGCACGGCTGAGAATATCAACCATACAAGCATAATGCTCATCTGTTGGACTTATTGCATAGAAACTGCTGATGGAATCGAAGTACTGCTTCCCCTTTTCAACAAGACCAATGTGACTGCATGCAGAAAGGATACCTATAAAGGTAACTTCATCAGGTAAGTAGTTGTTATCTTTCATTTCTTCAAAGGTATCAAGGGCCTTTTCTCCCTGACCATGCAGAGAAAACCCACATATCATAGCGTTCCACAATGCTGTATCGTATCTAATCAAGCCCTTGAATATAATCTCAGCATCTTGAATGCGCCCGCATTTTGCATACATGTCAACAAGGGCACTGGAAACAAACAGATCAGGCAGATGTCCGCTCTTAATTACCATTGAGTGAAGCTGCCTTCCACCTTCAGTGGCAGTTATTTGGGAGCATCCACTTATGCAACCAGCAAGAGTGAACTCATTGGGCTTTACTCCTTCTCTCTGCATTACATTGAAGCATTCAATAGCCTTCTCTGCTTGGTCATTCTGGACAAAACCAGTGATAATTACTGTCCATGTAAAGACATTTCGACTAACCAACCTATTAAAAACCACACACGATTCTTCCATACACCCACATTTGGCATACATGTCCAAAAGAGCTGTCCCAACATAGTCATTACCATTAAGGTTGTCTTTCAAAACCTGAGCATGAACCTGCTTGCCAAAGCCTAAATCTAAGTGGCTAGAGCAAGATCTTAAAACACTGATGAATGAGTACATATTGGGTCTAAAACCTTCTACAAGCATCTGATAAAAAGTTCTAGGCCCTGATTCACAACAATTATAGTCATGAAATCCAGACAACAAAGAATTCCAAGAGATAAGATCTGGTCCTGTCATAGCCTCAAATACACGAGCACCGTCATGCACAGAGCCATTTTTCATGTACATCCTGATGAGGGCGTTACTTACTGAGATATCAGATTCAAACCCATATTTCAGAATACAAGCATGGAAACTTTCTCCAATATGCAAGTTGCCTAGTTCAGTGGAAGCACTAACAACACTTGCAAAGGTAAATTGATTTGGCTGAACATCCCTATGCCTCATCAAGTTAAACAGCTTAGTCGCTTCACTGTGATGCCCTTGCTGATCAAGGCAAGAGATCATAGTACTCCAGGACACTACATCATGATCTTTGATCATAGAGAAAAGTTTTAGTGCATCACCTACCAGCAAACACCTAGAGTACATATCTATAAGATTGCATGCCAAGAAATCATCGAATTCAAAACCACTCTTGATGGCCAAACAATGCAGAATCTGGCCATTTCTCAAGTCTCCTGAATTCTCACAACCCTTGAGAACACTGGATAACGTGTACTTGCTGAACTTCACATCTGATTTTAGCATTTTGCCAAACAATCCAAGAACTTCTTTGCCATCTCCTGATTGAGCATGGCGACTAAGCAACACGTTCCATAAAACTTCGTTCTGCTCAGGCATGCAAAAGAACATCTTATCAGCAAGGCCTATTTCACCACATTTAGCATAAAGGTCAATTAGTGCAGACCCAATAAATGAATCGGATAATAAGCCAATCTTAGTTACATCTGCTTTAACCTGTTTCCCAAAATCTATGTTCAAGCACATAGAACAGGCTCTCAAACAAGTGGCCAATGTGAACTCATTGGGACTTATACCTTCCCTACGCATCTCACAGAACAAATTTATACCTTCCCTAGCATTGCCCTGAGCTACAAAACCATTGATTACTGTGGTCCAAGATACAACATCTTGCTCAGGCATTTTAGCTAGCACCTGTCGTGCATAAGCCGGATGACCACATTTTGCATACATGTTAATGAGTGAAACCCAGAAGTGAGAATCTGGGTCAACCCCTTCCCTTATCTGATGCCCGTGTACTGCCCTTCCCTCATCCAAAGATTCTGTGAAAGCACAAGAATGCAGCCATGCCGAATACTGTTTAATCCTCTCCTTGCTATTCACATTTACAGACTCCTCTTCTGCATTGTCCCTGTGAGACTCTGAATTGGTTCTATTAAAACCAGGAATTCTTCTGGGCATTGCCCGTGACCTTTCAGCCCAGGCTTGACAAGTTACGTTTGGCCTATCTACAAAGGCTGGATTACTTGTGCCCAGCGCAACACTACAAAAGGATTTAACACAAACCGAAACGTTAATATACTTGGAATTATTGAAAATCCTGCTGGGATGTTGAACACAGGGTAGGCTCGGCATTTCAGAAGCAACAGCTGGATACTCCATCAAATCATTCAATTTTAATGAGCTGCACCAGAAACAACTAACAATATTATATACAGTGAAAAAGGAAACAACTAACAATATTATACAGTGAAAAAGGAAACAAAGTTTTAATCCAAAAGGGGAATCTGAACGCCATAAATATGAGATACACAAGAGTTCAAACACTGAAAAGAACTTATTCTTCACCTTCAAAGTAAGTCAATCAGTGAAAGGTAGACAAAAGAGTGAAGAAGGATTAAGGAGGGCCAGAGTCATCAGATAATAAACCTTCGGGGGGCAGCTAAACCTAGAGATAAAAAATATAATATTAAACGATTCCCATTTAGATAAAAATATAATAAAGAGCGAATTGATATAAATAAAAGAGCACATAAACATAAACGCAAGCGGCTAAATCTTGTAAGCCAGGTATAGAAGTCGGAGTATCCACTGCTATGTTGTTTCGGTGCAGCAGCCAGCAGGTGCTCAACGGCAAGAACGACAAACCGATTTGCACATTTAATAAAAGTCAGCACCTTTCTCTGTTTTCTCAAAATTTCCCTAGGGAAGCATGAAAGTAGGGGTGGAGTTAAGAATTTCGCGGGAAAAAGACGGTGTTCGAAAGAAATGAGCAGCCATTGGTGAGGGAACATGAAAGGAAGAAGGTAGGTGACTCGCATTTTTATCTGTATTCCTATTTTTGCTTTTTTTAAGTAATTGATTTAATTTAATATCTAACACTCACGCACCCACATTTTTGCCAAAATATTCTAAATTTTGACCAGAGTAGAAAAGAAAATTGTAATCAAGCTTGGGTCGTCATTGAGTTTCAGTATTTAACTATTTGTACTCCGTCATGGTCTTCTTCGAAATCAAAGAACGAACCAGAGCAGAACGAAGAACCCAAAGGAAATAGAAAGAACGCACCTGGTTCACGAAGCAGACTCACAAGCAGCTGGTTCGTGAAGCACAGTGAAGAATGAAGGAAGACGAATGGGCGAAGAGGCACGCTGGTTCAGGAGGGGCTCGGGTTCAGGACCCGGTTTGGGTGATGAGCCACAACGTGCCTGTGATGAGATGATATGAATGGTTCAGATTTAATTCATTATTATATATTATAGTTTTTAAAATAAAAATTTATAAAAATTATAAAATTATTTTAATAACTTTTTTATTTTTAATATGATTTAAATTTAATTTAAAAAATTTAATTTAATATTAAAATTTTTATAAATTAATATATATTGATCATTCATATATATTTTACATCATCTAAATTAAAAAAATAAACTATCTTCTTACCTTGCTTTTTGGACCCTAGTATGAATTCTCATCAATAGGAGAAGTAAGCTTTTCCATTTCTAAAAAAGCGGATCGAGCAGAGAAAAATTCGAAAGCTAGCGAGTTATTAAGTTCTTATTTTTATTCATAATAATAATGCCTAGAGCTACAAAATGAGCGAGCTTGGCCCATAAAAATTTGAGCCATTAAGTCCAATTTTTTATTTTTTACTCTTTTTTTAAGACCCAACCTTTATTTGAAGGGCTTAAAACTGAACTCACAATCCCCATTTTAAAAAAATTTAAAAAAATTAAAATAAAATAAAGCATTATAAATTAATTAAAATATTTTAAAATTAAAAAAATTAAAATCTTCATAATCTTTTAAAAATTAAATAATAAATATTTAATAATCTAGTAATAAAATTCAAATTTTGATTAAAAAAACAGTTCATTTTTTTTATAAAAACACAAACATAATAATTATAAAAAAATAAAAAAATCATAAATTTTATATCGTACACTAATAATTTATTAAATTATATTAAATTAATTTTAAAATAAATTTAAAATTAATAATAATATATTGCATGGATCAAGGCTTTAAGTTAGTAGATCCTTGATTTCTAAGTTAGTAGATCCTTGATTTCAAAGGTATGTTCCACCAAAAATAAATTAATAATAATATAATAAAACTTGAAATGTTGCCTGAGCCTTATTTTACAAGGTTTATTAAGGACAAACCCTCAAGTTCGGTTACTTAAAAAAAAATTATTTTCAAAAAATAAACTTTTATTTAAATAGGACTTTTAAATCTGACCGTTCAGACTCGGCCCTTATTCCTGACTTTAGTAGTGCCTTTTCTTGGCGAAGTAGGAGTTGATATCTCGCTTGGAGGGGAGAAGAAAAGATTTGTTCCTTTTTAATCTAGAATGTGCAGAGTACATCTAGATAGTCAATATACATTTATTTATAAAAAATTTAATATTAAATTGAACCCTCCAAATTAAATTTAAATCATATAAAAATAAAAAAATTATTAAAATTATTTTATAATTCTTATAAATTTTTATTTTAAAAAATATAATATATAATAATAAATCAAATTTAAACCATTTAAATTAAAAATTTAAATAGTCTAAATCTTATTACTGTAACGTGCATCCAAACCAAATTCGGTTCAAGAGCACCCTGTTTCACGTTGCACGCGAAGAGCGGCCGATGGGGCTGAGGACATTGTTGGTATTATTTACGAATTTGCTATTACAAAAAATATGTTGGTCTCCACTTCTCTCGTCGTTCTGCAGGATAAAAATCTCAAAATATCTTTTTTTAAAAAAAATACTGTGATTTTTATTCTAGTGTACTTAAATTACGGAAATCTTCCCTCTATTTTCAAAATTTATATATTATTTTAATAGTTAATATCATTAAAAATATTTTATTAAATTTTTTAAAATAATTCTATTTATAATTCCATTAAATTTTTTATAATTATTATTTTACTTTCATAAGCTAATTATTTACTATGCCAATTTTAAATAATTACGTTGATATTTAAATAAATAGTTTAAAAGTATGTCAAAATTAACAAAATTTTAAAAAATAAGTATAAATTACAAGTAATTTATTGTACTAAATTGATATTTCATTAAGCTTTTTATTTGCATGAAATTTTATTTTGACCAATTTATATATTTAAATTTTAGAAATGTTGCTAAATAAACAGGTTTATATAACTAAAAAACTTAAAATATAAATAAATAAAAAGTAAAAAAATATGCATTAATTTTTTTATAATTTGAATGATTTTTAGATGACATTTATATTTTGAACAAGGGTATTTTAAGCTAACATATGTAACTTAATGATCAATTAACAACTAAGTGGATAAAATAAAATCTTAAAAATAAAAAAAAATGTTTATATTTTGTAAGGGTGAGGATATATTAGCTAAGCTATGCCAAATAAACCTAAACTCATAACATAAACCTCAAGCTTAATTCTAAATCTGAATTTGTATGTTGGGTTTTTTATAGGCTCAAGCCTAAGCTTACTATTAACTTGGGTTAGTTTGAAACCTTTTCTAATGCCTACTTTTATGTTAGCCTTCAGCTTTTGAATTTAGACATCAAAGTCTTTAAGTAAACTTCAAACCTATTAAACCTTTTTTAATAGGCTTAAAGATTTAAAACCTACATATAATTAAAATGAATAAAACCTATAATAAATCTAAATAAAACATATTTTAAAGAGTTACATCATGTATGCCACAAAATTACAAAAATTAAATTTTAGGATAGGAGAAGAAAATGAAATTAATTACCCTAGCATAAAAAAGTAATTGCAAGATAAAATTTAAATACAATATAATAAATAAATATATTAGATATATAAATTTAAATATAATATAAGTAAAACAAGCCAGGCCTTCTCGCTTATAAGTTAGGCTTTAAAAATTCAATTTAACTTGTTTAGACATATAAGCCTCTAAATAGGTTTTATGCTTAACCTATTTATAAACAAGTCAAGCTCCAACCAAGCGGGATTGTAAGCCACCTGATAAGGATTTAACCAACTTCCACCCAAATGTTTTGTAACTATTTATATGTAGGGATATTCATATAAGATTTAAAAATAAGAGATATATATAAATTAAGGTAAAATAGAAAAAAAAAAGGAGCATTTTACTCTTTTTTATAACATTAAACATTCTACTTAAAAATACCTTACCAAACAATTATTTTTATTTTTTTATTTTACAAAAAAAAAATTGTTCTCAAAATCCAATTTCAACCAACCTCTTCATCTTTCGTCCAAGGGAATAGGAGCTGATGGAATAAGAATAGGCGAAGGAGAGCTCATTTCAAATGTTTGGCGCATGGAAATGGGTATTCCAATGGAATGCCTCATTATCTCATTTAATTTAAAGTAATCCCCAATTTGTCAATGGACCGTAGGAATGGAGATCCATTCTTGCCAATGAATTTTTCTAACCAACTGGTCCCCATAATATTTTTCAAATTTCTATTTTGCCCATAGCCCTGCCTCTCTCTCGATAGTGATTAGGAGCCATTAGCAGTTCATTGCGAATGGGTCTACTCGCTTGCTCGTCGATAGTGGGGAGAAGTCAAAGCCTGACGACAGGGAGACAAAACCAAAGGACCTCACCCTCCACCGCTATTAAATTATTCACGTATTCGCATGACATGCTAAACATATTTTCAAAGCTTATTCTCATTCTCATTACTATTACCGATCTCATTCTCATTTCCATTCCATTCCCTTGATTTCTTCAAATGTATCAAACATAGCCTTAAAATGAAATAGGAATGAAAAATAATGAAAATATTAAATGTGTCATGCCCATGACAGTACTGAGTATGACCAACACGAAATATAAAGTTAACCTTGTCTTGTAAGCCTAATCAATATATATTTTTCCAAACTTGTTTTAAAAAGTTAACAGCAAATGACATTATAATACTCAATCATTTTTTGTTTTTGGTAAAAATTTTCGGTAAATCTCCTTCAGCGGTAAGATCATTAAAGAAATATTTAAAACGATTAATCAACCCATTCAAACAGAATATGAGAGCCACCTCCTCAATTTATAAATAATAAAAGTAAAGAGTTGGATATCTTGTGTGTTCTTTGGAACAACTATCGAGCACAACAAGGCAACAATTCAAATTTATCATAGTAATAAATACTAATATCCAACGAGTAAAGGATCCATTTTATAATGCAAACGAAGGGATTGAATGTTCCTAATATTCAATATACAAATAACAAAATGATGTTTCATAATAACGCTCATTACTAAAATGTTTACAATAAGCATAAAAATATGTGTGTATGCATACCGAATCATGTTTATTTTCTCAAGATGTGAAGATAATACCTCAATAATTTAAATTATCCAAAGCACATCAACTACATAATCATGGACATGGAAAAATGTTTGCCGTACAATACTCGCAATATAAAAATGCAAAAATAATGTTATCAGCAAGTGTGTGAAACATACTTTCAAACTCATTAGAATAACAAATAGTAATCATGGGATCAACTTATCCCAACATCCAGAACAAGAATTTCTTTTCAAAAATAAAAATTTAAAGAAGAAAAACATTTTTTAAAAAACAAGTTCTTTTAGAGAAATCTACATAGCATGAGATATTTGTCATGGGCACGGAGCCCATGTGGAAAAGTCATCAATTAGGTGCAGCGTATGCCATGAATAAAAGACACAGCTCGAAAGCTACGAATAACAAGTGTGGACATATAATCTACGAGGGTAAGCACTAGTATAACTTGAAGCTATAAAAACAAGCGTAAGCATCGGTCTCACAAAAAATAGGTATGAGTGTCAGATTCCTCCACAAATATTCACAGGTACATCAGAAATCAGTCGTTCAGTGCATTAACCTTTTATCTTTAAAAAATCTAAACAACATTCATTAGCCATTTTTCAGACTTTCTTCCACTGGCTCATATATGCTAGTAAAAATTTCTTTTGGTAATAAAAAGATCCTGATTATCATCAAAATACTCACAAAAATCTCAATTTCAAATATTTGGCAATTACTTTGCTGAATTTCACTTTCAAATCTATATCCAAACACTTGTTAAAGAATCTTTTAGTACGATAAGGTTCTTTAAAACAATGAAGAATCATGACTTATAAATAAGTGTAAGTAAATCAACATAGTTTAAAACTCATAATATAATAATAAACACAACACAATTTAAAATCATATTTTCAATCAAAGCATATCCTCGTCTATACATAAATATTTCACCGACACATTGCACCAGTCACTTCGTTAAGCTCAAATCAAGAAAGCTGATAAAATTAATAGCTAGAAATTTCAGCAGAGACAACATATTCTTCGGAGACTGCTTTTAGGTAATATAATAAAAAGCTTTGGAAATGATAAATCGCTATCTACAAGCAATTTTCAGAATCCAAGGTCATCATGGTCACTTATCTCTAGGCATAGAGTTCTATATCAAAGTCTTGTCACACATTTCCATGAAATCAGCAATAAGATTGTTTTGGTTGTTTCATGCTGACCCCAAAGTGAAACACAGATAATCCACCATTTCACCAACCAAAAAGAATGATTCTAACTCCGAGAAGTGCACATTATTTTTGTCTATCGAACGTTCTCAAACTAAGGAATCTGAAAGCTTAGCAAGGGAAGAAACATCAAATAAACTGCCCACTTTCTATAAAGAAACAGGTCAACCATCACAATGCACACAGCGATGATTCATGGAGAAATTAAGGTATTTGGTTTCAACGTCATCAAACACACTGAGCTATCAGTGTTAGTGATTTCTTTATTTATTTACTTTTCATCTCATACAAAGTGATTAGTGATAATTTTTATCAGCGAGCAGAAATGCCAAAAAAACATAACAGGATGAACTGTATCTCAAAACAATACAAAACTAGATCATTATTGTTCTTTGTTCCCTTCTTATCCCTAAGACCATGAACATCAAGAAAAATAATAATGATAATAATCTCTTAGTCCTTTCCCCACCGCTTCTGTTAAGTATTCCAGCCAGAACAGTGTTAACCCTCAATTTATACATGTTATTTGTAATGTCAACATCTAGCAAAGATATTGGGTGTGGGTGCGTGTGTGTGTAAGTGATGGTTTCAGTCTTGTGAAAAAAAAAAAAAATTAGTCTCAAGGAAGGAGATCTTGTAAGTTGGCAGCTTTAATTGATTTAAATCCTCTTTTTATTTCACATTTAAAAGAATCCTAACCAATATGCAGAAATTCAGAATGTCATGGTTTCCGATGCATACAAATTAAAAGGTGATCATGATTTACGATGCTATACTCAACTACTCATTCAAATTAAATATCAAGCATTTAGAGGCTGCATTATATTTCTGCTTAACATCAAAACATAATAGTAATAAAATATAAAACAAGCATCTTAATTCATAAACTACCAAACATATACTTCCCAAGCAGCACCTTAGTCTCTTAAATTTCCTTCAATTTATCTTCTTCCCAAAATTCATCTTAAAATCACAAATAAACAGCATCCAAACTCCCTTACACTTCTTGTAGCATTCAACAGAAAGCACTATAAGAATACCTATTCAAGTGTCTCCTCCCCAATGCATCAATAAGAGAAATCCCCCAATTTTTCTTTGCCTCTAACACCCAGTTGCACAAAGGAAGGGAAACTTAAATCCCTCACTCCCAAACATCACAGTGAACAGAACAAAAAAGAAGGAACCGAAACCCCTTAACCACATGCACAGGAAAACCATAAAAGAGAAAGAGATTCTAGCTTGCTTACGATATAACAGAGTAGAAGAGGATGGATAAATCTCTCATTGGAACCAGAACGACGACCACACAAGCAGGGGTGGAGAAAGAAGAACCGATGACGCCAAAAACAGAGAAGGAAAACGCAGCTGCGAACTTTGACGGAACCCAGGCACTGGCAAACGAACGGCGACCCACACGTGCACACGCCGGTGAACGGCAAGAGAGAAGGAAAGGAAGGACGAAGGAAGAGCTCCTCCCTCAGCTATAGAAGTCTTCACCGAAAGAAAAATGGAAGAGGTAGAGCGCAGGAAAGTCCTGATGTGTACATCTTTAATTCTAATTCTCTCTGCTCTTTTAAGTGGCGTTACGGTAATTTCATTATGTTTAAGGAAAGTAAAATTTGCACCTGAAACCCCTTTTCTAATCAATAATACATCATTTTATTTGTTTATTTTTTTGCCAGAATAATACATCATTTTATGGGTCATTACACAATGCACATAAATTTATTTATTTTTTTCATTCATATGGTATTTACTATTTATATGGTGTTCTTAGAAGGGCAAGCTTCCACTTTATGTACTTCTCAATTATCAATATTGCCGGGTAGACCTTATGCCATTTTAATATTTCAAATAATCCTTTCTAATGGCAAGATCTACTCAAAACGAATGCACACCAACTCCATATTATTACAACAATTGTATATGATTGGGAAAAAATACAAAAAACAAATGAGCAAACACACTCACAGGTATTTATTGTAGTATGTGTGTCAAAAGTATGTATATCAAAAGTCTCATATTATCTAAATGAAAAACTCTCCTAATATATGAATACTAAGAAATTAAGTAGGCTAGTCAAATGGGCTTGGAGGAGAAGTAGACTCACGTACACGAAACAGGCCAACTATTCATGTTTGTAATTGAGATATTATACTGCTTTATGAGTGTAACCGAGCCTTTAGGAACTACCGGTTTGTCATCCTAATATGTCGGAATAGTTCTGAAGGATAGTGTCCTTCTAAACACAACTCAAGCAACTTACCTTTTGCGTCCATACAGCCAACACTTATTTTCATATTTAATTAAAAAAGCACATCACTTCTTATAATTTCTATACTCACTAAACTTCATTGAGCATGTTTTGTTTATAAGGTCAAAAAGTTTTTTTTCTTAAAAAAAAAGCCCCTTTTTCTTTTTTTTTTAAAGATATATTTCTCTTTTTTAAAAAAAAAAAACACTAATAGCGTTTGACGAAGGAAAACGCACTTCAAAAGTAGCAATACCCAACGATGTTGTTAAAATCGTCCAATTTGAATGGACTAACAAGAATTGAACGTGGAGCAAACTGTCTGGTAGACTTGGAAGTATGGTTTACCACACGGCAAGCAAAAGGCACTACATACATACAAGTATGAGAGTTTTGAAACACAGCAATTCTAAGGTTAATCACAGCTAGCACAACGAAACATATATTGATTTGCGAGCAACATTACAATGCTGCTCTGATACACAGCAAAAAGATTTTGAATTCTCAAGGCAGAAGAGATCTGGGAATGATAATATCCCCAATGTTTTTGTGCCATGGATCAGCCAAGTGAGTCGCCAAGTTCTCCAAAGGCCCTGTTCCTGGGTATGCTGATTGCTGCACACATATCCCCACAAATGCCAACAGTGCCAGACGCCCTGTCACACATCAGACACCCAATATAAAATTCACAGCAAATGTAATTGGGTTGGTTGAAATCGACACCACATCTTAATTCAAAATTTTAAATCTTTAACCTACCATTTTTGATTTCCTTGACTTTGTATTCTTGGAACTTGACAGGGTCCTTGGAGTATCCAAGAGGGTCAAAGGCACCACCAGGGTACTTCTTCTTCTCGGGGTCTTTCTCCATGCTGCGTTGGTGCTCCACGAAGGCTATAGACAGGAACTCAATCACCAAAATAGTGGGTAGGGTGCCCCATGGAACAGGGTTCCCTAGGTAAGTGGCTTGGCCACCAGGAACTGCTGCCCATCTCTGAGCTTCTACCCAGTTCCCTAACCCCAATGCCTCTGGTATCAATATCCCTGGCTGCAAAATCATAACCAAATCATTCATATCTCAAGTATGATTATACTCATCCATCTAATAATTGTTCCAATTTTTTCATATGGTATTAAAAACCAAGTCAATTTAGGGTGTGTTTGGTTTGGGAAAAAACTTCTCAAACACCCCATTTTTTCATGAATTTCATTTAAGCTCTGAAACTCTTTTATGGGGGAAGTCATTTGAAGCTTTATCTGATGATCAATTATTTTAAAACTCTATTTAATCAATTTTTTTTTACAATAGAGATCCAAACACACTACTAGTCAATTGAACTAAACTATTAAACTAATATTTTACCAGTTCAATGAAATATTATGTTTATGGCTAGCCGGTCATTAAATCTTGAACCAATGTTTTGACTAGTTTCAGTGCTGTTTTCACTACCTTACTATTTTTATACGATGAATATAGCAAATAATAATAGATGAAAACTTACCACAGCAAGCATGGCCCATCTGCAGTGGATGAGCTCAGATTCCTTGTATCTCTCAAGATTCTCCGGCACTTCCCCTAGACGAAGAGGGTCGAATCCGAAGTCACTGAAACACAACCAAACACAAATACTTCTCGTAATCCAAATCAAATCCACCAGTAGTCAGCATATCGATGAGCTAAAAACTACGCTAAATCTCTCAGCTTCATATGATCAGCGTCCATTGGAACATTCGATCCAAATGATATGAACTGAAAATTCTTTAATATGTATCTTGAAGAAGAAACGGACTATAAGAGCGTACCCAGGAGCTGAACCGTCGAGGTAAGGAGGTCGGGGCTGGCCGGGCATCCAGTCAGCGGTCATGGTGAAGCGAGAAGACGAGGCAGCGGAGGCACCCCCGGGGAGAGGGATTGAGGCGGCGAATTTGGATTTGGAGGAAGAAAGCACGGAAGGGAAGGCGGAGGCAGTGGCAATGCCATAGCTCATCAATGTGTTGGAAGCCATTGATTCTCAGACTGCGCGGAGATAGAGAGAGAGAGAGAGAGAGAGAGAGAGCAAGAGTTGAGAGCTGAGAATGAAGGCGACGAAGGGGAGAGCGAAACTATATGAGGCAGGGAGGGGGATATAGGCAAATCCAAATGTGGATTCTTATTGGGTGATGCTACTAGCTACTCGCTTGCCATTGGTCCACGTGGAATATGGCCATCCCAGCTTGGTTGTCCACGTGGGATACCCTGTGGATATAATAAGGGGTTTTTTTTTGTGTGGTCAAGGATTTATGGCTCATCCAAAAAAATCAACTAGCTTGTCTTCTATTCCACTCCCATTTTTTGTGATATACTAATACTAGTATTTTTTTCCTGAAGATATCTGTGCATTGTCAAACTAAACGGACCCTGGTTTTAAAATCTTCGTTTTTTTTTTTTAATGCAGCAACGACATCGTGGAAAGCAATTAAAGATGTTATTACATCATACATCATGATTAGTAGGAGCTAAGGGGAGTATTTGGCCGGTTCGAGCCAGGTTCAATCATCCTGATCCCAGGCTGACATGTTTGGACATCAGACTTCTTAAAAAGTTTAGGTTGAGTTTTAGCTTGATGTTTAAAATTTATTTTAAAAATAATTTTATTAATCAATAAAAATTATAATTATAATTGTTTAAAATGAGTTTTTATGAAACCAATGTTATAATAAAAAATCAATTTCAAATATTTAAAATATTAAAAAAATTAAAATCACAAAAAAAATATCCATAATAAACATAAAAACAATATAATATATAAAAATTATATAGACTAATTAAGTTTTAAAAGTAATTAAATATTTCTAGGTTTGGAAAAGTTGGGCTGGGTCAAGCCCGAGTTAGGACCAGGCTAATCGGGTAACCTATATAGCACTAATGATTAGCATAACTTGATGTAACTCCATTTTAATTTATAAAATATTTTTAAATAAAATTATATATTTTTATAATTTTATTTTTTAAAAAATAAAAATATAAATTTTCAAACATGTCTTTTATTTAATATTTTATTTATGAAATAGTATTTAAAAAAATCATAATAAAGATAATATTAAAAAAATATCATTAATAAAATATTATTTTTATCAAAATATCTTACATTTTAAAATATTAAATTTATTTTAAAAATATTTTATAAATTAGGATGGAAGGAATATTTTTTATTAGGCGCATGTGTTTTTTTATTAGAGACAATCATATTTAAGAAATGATTTAGTATTAATTAGCATATCTTTTATGGCAGAAATTTAAATATTAATTCATTATATTATAAAAGATTAATTCATTTTGTTATATCTAATAATGAAGCAAGTACCCTTAGGTGAGAGATGCAAAATCTTAAAATTAAAAGCAATTGTGCAAAATAATAAAATTTGAGGGTAGATAATTCAAAATTTGAAAGATATAAATGCAAAATATTAAAACAAATATACTGAATTCAAAAATTTTCCCCCTAAAACGAGGGGATGCATTTTCTCCTTCAACACCACGAGGCTACTCGATCCTTGTTAGTTCAAGATGTTGAATATTGTTCTTTGAAAATTATGATATTTAATTACTCATGCTTTAACCACGGAAAATATAGTATTCCTTTAGCCAAAAAATGGAAAATTTAGTATGTTTCACCTAACATGTTTAACATATTATTTGTATTTTTTAACAAAAATAATTCATGCTAACTTTAGACCTACATCTCTCGTCTCCGTTCTTACGCATATCTTTTCTTTGGAAAAAAAAAACAAAACAAAACAAATCAGTGCCATCTCACCCTTTATTATTATTTTTCTCTACAACCTTTTTTTTTAAGAATTTGGACTATCTTTATCTTTTTTTATTAAAGGACAAATAGTTTCAAAAATATCCAAAACTGAATTAGTGAAAACGAAATTAAAACTGAAGGCTAAAACAAAAACACTGGAGACACACATCCGCTTGCATTGGTTTCAAACATGAGCTCCCAGTGTAGACCGCATTGAAGCTGGTGAGGAGACAGCATAGATGCATACACTATCTTTATCCAGTGGGTGAGATGAGTTGTGTGATTTATTGTTTATAGTTAGCATTATTTATTATAAATTTTATGTTTTGTAATAATTTCTTAAATATCTCTTACATACTAGCAAACGAAATAATGACTACATAATAAACACTATTACACCCGATCAATTTAATCAATAAGGCTCGTGTGTAATATCTCAAAAAAAATTTTCTTAATTAATTAAGCTAATGAAAGATAAATTTATAAATTTAAATATAAATAAATTTGAAAATAGTTAGAGATTGCTATTGAGTTTGGTTTTAGCTTTTGGATTACATTTGAAAGTGAATTAGGTTTTTCGGCCTCAAATTGTAAAGAAAAGTTGAATTTTTAATACACTGTGCATTATGTTACAACATATAAATTTACGCTACAACATAATTTCTAGAACTTGTCTTTTTAAGAATGCGAAAACAAAGAAAAAACAATAAAACAGAGGGCGGGCGACAAAGAGAGTGATTTTTCTATTAGGACATCAACTTTTAAAAATTTTAAAGGTGATGATTTCATCTAAGTATGTCTTCCTCATCTTTTCTTTTTCTCTCTACACATTTTGGAATGAGATTTTAGGTTGAGAGATGATGATTTTCAAACCTAGGGCTATGGGTCCTAATCTATTAGTTTAAATGGGACTAATATGAGTTGTTTGAGTTATCTAAACCTAGATACAGTAGTTTTATGCATTTATGAGAGTGGGCTCTCAATTATGGACGAAATTATACTTTAAAGTGCCGTAAATGGTAGTGGTTAAGGTGAATAGCTACCATTGATGTTGATTAAAGATTTTGTTAATGTTAGTTGAAGCTAATGAGAGTTAATAAACCTAATGTGGTGATTAAACTTATAACTTGAGAGTTTTGGGTGATGAAAGAGTTGAAATTTGAGAGTTGGAATTGAGTAAGTTGTAACATTAATGATGATTTTAGGTTATTAGATGATATATTAGTGATTATTTAAGTTGTTAAGAGCTAAATGAAATTAATGAGAGTTAAGGAACTCATTAAATATGAGATTGATCTTATAGTTAAGAAATTTGGTTATTAAAATATAGAATTGGATGTTGAAAGTGGTGATTTTAATAATTATTAGTGATGGGTGTTAATATAATTGTAGACTAACATCACGAAGCACCGATGAGCTTAAATTTAGCTTGAAAAGCAAGTTGTGATTAAGGGATAACATTTGACCCCTCAAAAGTTTGACGTAACCGAGGAAAACCTAGTTTGTATAGTTGGATATTAATTACTTACTAATTAAATTATTGTTTTGAAAATATGATTGATATTTTGAACTCTTTGATGTAAATTTTGTATTTTTGAAAGTTATGTTGAATAGTTGTAAATAATATGCATGTTCTACATGTGTGAAATCGTTTTGAAAAAATGAAGAACCTTATGCATGATACGTATGAGATTAATGATTATGTTTGACGGCATGTCATTGTGAAAATTGATGAAAATGTGGTAATTGACATGTGAAATGTGATGAGCATATGAGTGAGGATTTGTGAATTCATATGAGATGAATTGTTAACTAGATTGCATAATATGTGTAACTTGTGTATAGCATGATCGTTGATGGAAGTTCGCTTAAGAAAAGAGTAGATTGGTAAACCTACATGATACTGGCGGCTTACCGTTGGAATCGAAAGCTTGCCTTGGTACCAACCATTAGAATTGAGAGGTAGTTTTTGTCCCATGGTTGATTTGGGACTGTCTCACTTGTTCTATGAGAGACTCAAACCTAACTAATCTTTATCAGTTTATGAAGAGGCTACCTGGGTACGACACCCCATGGTTGTTAGTATTAGGAAAAAACCATGATACACAAGTAAGCGAGTTAATTTTGGCCCGATAACTCTTCATAAGTGAAAGGCTGAGTCAGTCTATGTTATGGACATAGTCACTGGTTTCATGTCGGAGGTAACAGGAAGGTATAAGGTTGACATTGATAATGCATTTAGATCAATCACATGGTTATTATTATTGTGGTCTAGCGTGTTTTCATTAGGGGGCGTATAGTTGTTATTATTGTGTCCCCAATATATGCATTTTTGAATAAATGTGACAATATGCATTAATGCTTAGTCACATGGTTGTTAGTTTTGTAATTGAGGCTATAATTGTAATATGTGTGTGTGATGCTTGTGAAGTTATTTAATTGCCATTTGCATCTATAATTAATTAATATGAAATTATATAAGCTAGACTGACATTAATTACTAAATGATTATACTCACCCCTCTATTTAATATTTTATAGGTGCTAGCTCTAGTCGGGATAAGAGAAAGGAATGTGAGGTTTAGGAATCAAATTTTCTACTGTAATGTCTCAATTACTTTTGATTAATGTGTAATTATCATAATATTGCTAATTAAGATGTTTATATTTTGTTATATTTGCATCATTGAATATTGAGTATTGAAATGTATATTTTGGGCCCTAATGCATGTGGTATCCTTTTAGTTAAAATATTTGAATAAGGCCAAAATACTTATGCAAGTAAAGAATGAGTATATTTGTGAATCATATTAATTTAGATGTGGAGTTATATGTTTTGGCTCCCCCTAATGTTTTTATGATCAAGGAGTTAAACAGTGAAAATGTGATATAGGTATTGTTTGAATGTTGTAGTGTATTACACGAGTTCGTTGTAGTTCATTGAGTATGGTCTAGGGATTGGTATGAGCTCTTGACACTTAGATTTAGTTTTAGACACCTTAGTTATGTTTTAAAAGCATAAAATAGTGAGTTTCTTTTTTGTGCCCAACTTTTGATTGAAAAATGATTTGAATGTAAAACTAGTGTCATTAGCTAGAGTTCGAAAAAACTTTTTTATATACACCTAGATCACCTCAATTGGACGTTGGATGGAGATTTGGTGCATATCGAAAGTTTGGCCAGGAAATTTGCCATAACAGCTTGGATTCTGCAGTTTATGTCGTGTCATAAAATTTTATACTATAACATAATTGTGCCATAATTAATTTTTACTATTTTGACCCTAATTTGATGTTATCTTACTTTCTATGATATACATGCTCTCGTATATATGTTTTGCTCTTATTTTAGTTTATGAAATGATTTTATAGTATTTTAAATTCTGAAAACTTGAAATCTCATTGATGTGAATTTTACAAACTTGATAATTTATTTAGATTAGTCCCATGATTACTTTGATTTTGGAGTTAATTATGGATTAGTAAGGTTAATCTTACATATATGAGTGAGATGTGAAAGTTTTTTTTTATAATTAATTATATCTAATTGAAATTCAAACACGTCCAAAAACAATTGAGTCAACAGTGTCTTCTTGAAGAATGAATTTTTTTAGGAGTTTTTTTTTTTGGAAGAAAAATCTTCAAAGAGCTAATATTACTTAGCCTTTTATATATGTGTGCGTAACTGAGTCTTGAGTTTTGTTGGGTTTAATTGGAAACAACTCTCTTAAAAGTACTTAGATTCATGTAAACTCAGCCTTGAGACTTCATATTTAAGCAGCCATCATTCATCTCATCATTCAGTTTTTTTTACAAGGTCCTAGATTCACAGCCCATTATATAGACATTTTGACACATGCTCCGAAGAAACCATGGTCTCTAAGATTTTCCTATTTCAATTCGTTTACAATATTTCCACCTTCCACGATAGAAATGAGACAAATTGTTTTCCTTTTCTTTTTAAACTTCCAAGCCTAAAATGGACCAAGCTTCACTTATGTTGTGACAAGTGCATTTCTTATCACTTCCAATGCCGCCGGTCATGCAGGAGTCTTCCAAGTAGGTATCTATCCTTCAAACTCTAATAAAGAATTATCTATGATAATGTTCCATCATTTCCCCTCTACCAAATCAAATTATGAAGCACAATTACAGATATATAGAATAATGAGTTGTTCACATTCACAGCAGATTCCTAAATAAACAAGAATAGGTAACTTTTTTTTTTTTAGATTGAGATCAAAGGAAGTATATTTGATTAATTATGATGATTTACCATGTTAAAATAAATATGTTTGGAACAATTTAGGTGAATTGTGTTTCTCCTTAAAAGAAGCAACTTAACTAGTGCATAAAAGACTTGTAAATAATAATAATAAAAGCCAGTCAAAATTGGTCAAGGGAATTGAGTAAAGTGATATTCTCTCTATTTTAAATTATAAGATAACTTGAGACAAGATTATACACATTAATGAAGTTCAGTAATAACACTTTACAAACTTATATTTTTAAAGGGGCTTGAGGAATTTAAGGAGTTCAACCTTGACCTTGGTGTTGCAAAAAATAATTCACCATTGAATTACCAAAGCTAACTAATAATATATTATAAAATATATATATATATATATATTATATATTTTTTGTTTTCAAGCATTAATATGAGTTGCTATTAATCATGAATATATTATTGTTCATATTTAAATAATTACTTATAAATATGTAAACATGACTTGTTTATACATGAAAAAGTTGTTAATTTTTTAAATCCAGCTTGTTCAATTTTCTTCACAACTTTTTCTTTCAATATTGATATGTTATCAATATTATGCTAAATAATATTAATGTTATAAATATTTATAACATGTATAAGTGATTATTCTGACATGAATAATAATATGTTCATAATTAACCACAACCCATAACAATGCTTGAAAAAATATTTATAACATGTATATAAATATATTTAAAACCCAAGGTTTTAGTTTTTAAAGGCTTGTTCATTCAACATTGATAGCAAACTACTTGTAAACATTGAATGAACCAAAAAGTTTAATGTTGAACGAACAAATCCTTTAAAAAAACCAAAAGTTAGGTTTTAAAAATTGAAAACTTTTTTATATATAAATAAATCATGTTCAAGTATTTATAAGTAATTATTCTGACATAAATAACAATATGTCAATGATTAATTACAATCAAAGAAACTGCTTGAAAAATAAATTTATAACACACGCATATGTATAATTTAACATAATATTAATAATATGTTAATATTGAATATGAACAATAATACAATCATGATTAATACCAGTTCATGTTAATGCTTGAAAACAAAAAGCTATAAAACACACACACTCTCTTTCTCTCTCTCACTAACACCCTATATTATATTTTGTAATGCATTATTAAATGGTTTTGATAGTTTAATGGTGAACTATATTTTGCAATATGAAAGGGTCAAGGATTCAAATCATTTCTTAAGCCCTTGTCCCCTTGACCTGATTTGATTGTTGGAACTCTAGCCATCATGTGGGTATTGCTACTGATGGCGATGTCCTCCCTTATAGCGACGGAGCTTCGGTAGCTGGTGTGGTGGCTCTGGTTGCTCGTGATATTACTTTTTTGTGAAAAAGATCAGGCAAGGTCATTTTTTATATTTCAGCAAAAATTTTAATTAATGAAACGCCCTTTGATTTTGCAGGATAATTTCATATTTCTTGGGGCCCTACATGTAGATATGTGTTTTTTAGGGCCTTTTATGACATTCTCCCCTTTCTTTTACCCAACTGACATGGCCACCCCCACGACCACTACATCTCTTCTCTCTCTCTCGTCATCCCCTCAACATTCTCACATTACCATTCACATTAATTACTGTCACATGAATTTCTTTTGTGCACTACATCATCAAACATTAGCTTTTACATTGCAATCAAATTCTTAAATTATTATTTTTTCTTCATCCTTAAACTATCAGCTGGTATCAGTTTGCATTCAGAAAGTTCTGTTTCTGTCTCTTTGTCCAATGGCCACGGCGGTTGCATCACCGTGGTCAGGTCCCATCTCCGCGCTGCGCTCGGTGCGGGCCACCGGAACGGCGTCGTCAAGAGGCCAGCAAAACAAGAAGCGAGTGCTGGGAATTTCAGCCACTTCACTCAGGCGATTCGTAAGGACGTGGAGTTCATAAAGAAGGGAATTAGCAAAAGTGTTGAGTGGGCAAACGAGACCTTCCGGATTCCGATGGTTTCGAGGAAAATCGATGACTTTATATGGCTTCGCAATCTCGAGGACCCTCAGGCTCCCCCATTTTCCTCTCCTTTTGGCCTCAGCATTGGTACCCAGGTAGACTTCAAGGTTTTCTTGGATGTTCTATTAGTCACATACACTTAATTTGAAGTTTCAGTCGGTTACGTGAACTGGGCATTATTGTATACCTCTTTTTCCATTCAAGTGAATGCCTGAATGGTAATGTGACATAGATATGCTTTTTTATTGCCTTCCAGAACTGTCTGGAGTGGATTTGCTCATGGCTGATCTCAAAGCATTGGAAGCTTATGCAAGTTACTTCTACTATTTATCTAAGATTTGGTCTAAACCACTTCCTGAAGTCTATGATCCACAGGATGTTGCTACGTATTTCAGCTGCAGGCCACATGTGGTGGCACTCCGCCTTCTTGAGGTAGTTAATTGAACAAATTTTATAAATACCCATGTTGAATTCTTCAATCGACCTTTCGCATGATTAATAGTTAGGACCTATTCAGCCTGCTCATTTAAAGACTCATGCAATACAGTGGTATCTATAGAACGGATGAAATCGTGCTTATAATTGATTTTACGTATTTGTATGAGGATCAATTGCAAGGTATACTGTGTGCTAGCCCGGGGATTATGTCTCTAGATTGTAGGTTTAACATCTCTGCTGCAAAAAGCTGTCATTTCTTTCTTTATTTAATGGTTATAACTAAAGTGCTGTTGCATGACTTTTCATTTTAGTGTTATCTGAATCTGTGTAAAACTTGAAAGTCATTACTCATTTATTCAAGGGTTCCCTTTTACTGATGGAGGTTTCTGTATTTTACTTTACAAGATTGTTATCATATGTTGGTCAGAGAGACAAGCTAAAGATATAACCGTATATGATGATATTGCAATACAGGAATTGTCCCAATATACTTTTGATAATTGCTGAAAATAGCTTGTGATTCAATATTTTGTTCTTTATTTTTTTATTGAAATCAATATTTCATTCGTTAGGTTTAAAATTTGTATCAAGATAAGCTTGTTTGACTCATCCTTGAAGTACATTTTGGTTAATTTTGCAATATTTTTGCCTTGGAAGATATTTTCTGCCTTTGCCTCTGCTGTGATCAGAATTCGAACTTCAGGAGTCACAACATTTATCAAACCAAATCCAGAAGAGGATGTTGACGGTACAACATCTCAATATAATTTTGGGATAGTGTTAAAAGAAACAATGCTTAGCCTTGGCCCCACCTTATTAAAGGTAATAAATCTACTCTTTGAAGGCTGACGGTAAATTTTAAATGATCTTTTGTTTATCTATTGTTATGTCATTATTATGGTTCCTGAAGTCTTTTCATGGCCTATAACTGTCGGGCCTTTTAATTTCTTTAGTTTTAAGATTACCAATATCCTTGTTACAATAATTTGCTTGCTGATGCAGTTGGTCAGTCCCTTTCCACAAGGCCAGATATCATTGGTGTTGAGATGTCTAAGGTTAGGTTGAATAGTATTTACCGGTCGCTGTTTCTTCATTTTTGGCTGTTTCCCTCTTGTGATAAACATGCTAATTTCGGATTTACAATTGGAAAAGCTTAGGTACTTAATCTTATATGTGTAAGCTAGTTTTTCCCCCTCAATTAAATTAGGACATGTGTATTTTTTTTTTATTCCTATTTTATTCTGTAACTAACTGTTGCTTTCAACATTTTGAACTTTTTTGAATTTTAAAATCAAACTTGTTATTATTTGATTGGAAAAAGTACAACAACAACAACAACAACAACAAGCCTTTATCCCACTAGGTGGGGTCGGCTACATGGATTGCAAGACGCCATTGTGCTCTATCATTTATCAAGCTTTTAGAAATATTATTAATTTGGTATGGGTAGTGATGCTGCATGTTAGGTGATAACAATTTACTGTTAAATACCTTACCCTTTGGATTATGCGGTGTCTTTTAAACGAATACTTTACCAGCTACATGCTAATATGCATGGCCAGGCTTTTTGTAGTTTCTGTGATTTGGATTCCATGCTCATCCTTTAACATGGTGCTCATGTGCTACAAGCTATTCAACAGCTTTTGAACTACGAAATTTCGTGGACCACCTTTTCTATAATAGTTTATCATATGTTGCATATGGTTTGACTTTTTAGTTCCATATTCCCATTGAGTTCATCTTGCAGGCATTGTCTGGGCTTCATGAACAAATCCCTCCTTTTCCCAGGACTGATGCTATGAGGATTATTGAGGAAGAATTAGGTTCCCCTGTGGAGTCATTCTTCAGCTACATTTCCGAGGAACCTGTAGCTGCTGCATCATTTGGTCAGGTAATTCCATACTTTGTCATAGGAGTTCCATGCTTGATTAAACATAAGTAGCATTATGTTTACATTTTTTCTATTTGACTACATTTACATTTCCTAGGTTTACTTTGCCCGTACTATTGATGAAATTAATGTTGCCGTAAAAGTTCAGCGTCCAAATTTGCATCATGTGGTGGTGCGGGATATCTTCATCCTTCGCCTTGGGGTTTGTATTAATCTCTATTACCTTCATATCTGTGCTATTTTGTTCAGGATTAAATTTCTCAAGTGACTGGGTGTAACTATTTCAGCTAGGACTGGTGCAAAAGTTTGCGAAGAGAAAGAGTGATCCTCGCTTATATGCTGATGAGCTTGGGAAAGGTTTTGTTGGCGAATTAGATTACACTTTAGAGGCTGCAATGCTTCAAAGTTTCAGGTAATTAATATTAATATTGTATCAGTTGGAGTTCAATCATATTAACAACAACATACACTGATGATGAGTTCAAGAAATGGATCTTTTAGATCACTAGCAAAATCTTTATGTCCAATTACACTATTTTTTTTCTGGGCGATTGAATTTGAAATATAGTTTCAGAACTTAACAAGAATCAGATCCTACTAAGATATTTTGCATTGGAAATTTGGAATCATTCATATGCTATTGACCAATTTAGAATTGAAAAATCTAAATCTGATCAACAGTAGCTTCTGAATAACTTTTTATATTTTTTTATTCTTCAATGCAGTTTTGCCACATAGAAATCTGAAGATTAGTATCATCTGATCAGTCCTTTATTCAAAGTTCAAGCCTCAGTTTTTTGTTTGAAAGGGTGTGTTAGTAACATAAATTCCTGGTCAACACCTAACTGTTAAAGCTTTGCGGTTGAATTGGCTCTAATGAACCTTCATTATAACTTTTTCTCTCAACTGACTTGTTATTTCTACAATCAGGAAGTTCACTCTCCCTTTGCTTTTATGAGCATGCCAAAAGTGTTTAAACATCTAAGTCGAACACGGGTTTCTCACTATGGAGTGGATGGTTGGTGAAAGTCCAACAGATTTGCTCTCCATATCTACTGGAAACTCTGTTGGAAATGTCTCTGTACATTGGGAGAGGCAGAAAGTTGAGGCAAAAAGGCGTCTTCTTGATCTGGTATGTAAACACAAATGAATAATGTCTTTTACATGGGTGTAAAACTGTGCATGGTAATATTTTATTATGTGTTTTCTGTATTATCAGGTTTTTTTTCATTACAATTTTTATTAGGTTTTTAATATTGGTAGTATGCTGAGTGAGCAGTAATATAAATTACCACCACATTACCTTAGTAGGAAGAGAGAGAATGAGCGTGTAGGTATTGCAAAGGGAACAGAATGGTTACTCGGGAGGGTTGCAGTAACGCCTATATAATGTATTAGTGAGATCAAAGGGTGTGAATTGATTTTGGAAGAAACATGGTAAATTTACAGGTCTTTGTCCCAAAAACCCTTATAGATATTGAATGCTTGGTTATATTTATGATCAGTAGTTTATGTTTCTTAAGGAGGGTGATTGCTGAGTTAGAAGTTCTATCATATTTATCTTTATTAATTTTGTTGAGTTGCAAGTTATCTTATTATTTTTAGGAGTTAGTTTGATTGCCATACTCTTTTATTTTCAATAGTATAACAAATAAAGGAGAGCACAATGGTTTAAAACATGAAATTTCTCCCTTCAGTCCCTTAGCTTTGCATCATGAGTGTTGGAATGAAGTGTAGACAGTAACCCGAGATTTGTACCCATTACTCCCACAATGCTAATTTATCTGTTTCATAGTTGGTTTTCATAAGATAAATACGATACAGCATGAGCCCATCTTTTCATACTGTCCATATCCTCTCTTTCTTTCTACAAATCAACAACTCTTATTGCTTCAAATCCAGCGTTCTATGAATCAGCAGCAATGCATATATGGAGGTTGATTTGACTCACTTTGTCAGGGAGAAATTGTTGTACAAATTGACCAAGACATGTATAAACCATTCTGAACTTCAGCTAGCTGATTCATTCACAAAATCTTTCTTTGGACAAATACATTTGGATGTAAGCTTGGAGCTTATGATATATTGTCATATGCTCCTACGTGAGGGGGAGTGTTACAGAGATTTTTTATTGAGTTGTCTATAAAAAGAGAGATTTGTTATTGAGTTGGAAATCCCATCTTATTTATCTTCTCATTTGAGTTATGATTATAGCATCTGGCATTGTGATCCTAGAGAGTGTCAATAACAAAAAAAGATGGGTTCTTCTGAATTGAAGTAGTGAAGATAAGCTTAATATTCTCTAAGATTGTACTAGCCCCACCCCCGGGCCATCAAAAGATTGTATTACTACTTGAATCCCATATTATTCAATTGAATGTTTTGTTACCCACAAATTACTGATTAGGCAAAAACTATGCCCTGTTTTGGCGTCTTAGTTCTTCAATGCATATATGGAGGTTGATTTGACTCACTTTGTCAGGGAGAAATTGTTGTACAAATTGACCAAGACAATGTATACCAATTCTGAACTTCAGCTAGCTGATTCATTCACAAAATCTTTCTTTGGACAAAATACATTTGGATGTAAGCTTGGAGCTTATGATATATTGTCATATGCTCCTACGTGAGGGGGAGTGTTACAGAGATTTTTTATTGAGTTGTCTATAAAAAGAAAGATTTGTTATTGAGTTGGAAATCCCATCTTATTTATCTTCTCATTTGAGTTATGATTATAGCATCTGGCATTGTGATCCTAGAGAGTGTCAATAACAAAACAAAGATGGGTTCTTCTGAATTGAAGTAGTGAAGATAAGCTTAATATTCTCTAAGATTGTACTAGCCCCCCCCGGGCCATCAAAAGATTGTATTACTACTTGAATCCCATATTATTCAATTGAATTATTTGTTACCCACAAATTACTGATTATGCCAAAAAACTATGCCCTGTTTTGGCGTCTTAGTTCTTCATTATGATGACAGAGCAGTTAGTTTCTTTCTTTCTTTCTTTCGATGAATACTGACTTATATTACCCAATTCCTTCAGGTCAACAAAGGTGTTGAGGCAACATTGGTGCAACTTCTTGAAACAGGATTATTGCATGCTGATCCACATCCAGGAAACTTGCGTTACACTTCCTCGGGACAAATAGGGTATTTGCCCCCTCCCTTTTCAGTCAAAGTAAATTCTTGTTTTATTTCACAAATTTTAACTATTTATTGCTTTCTTTCTATTTATTTTTTGTGGTAGGTTTCTGGATTTTGGTTTGCTTTGTCAGATGGAAAAAAAGCATCAGCTTGCTATGCTTGCTTCGATAGTTCATATAGTAAATGGTGACTGGGCATCCTTAGTTTGTGCTCTGACTGATATGGATGTTGTGAGGTCTGGGACAAATATCCGACTTGTAACCTTGGTATAATATCTACGTCTCAGGACATAGTCATCATACCATTGCATATTTTTTTAATTTTGAAGCTGATTTTCATAGAACTAACTTTTCAGATGTACTATAAAATTTCAGGAATTAGAACAGGCCCTGGGGGAAGTGGAGTTCAAAGATGGGATACCTGATGTGAAGTTCAGCAGGGTGAGATAATTTTTAAAAAAAGATAGTAAATGCACTCGTGTCTTTCAGATGACATTGTGAACTACCGTCTGAGAGTGTGGATAGGTTTTAATTGAGGCAAATTTGTGTTTTTTATAAAGTTCTTAATAGAATTAAGTGCTCATACCATGGTGCTATAAGAATGTGCTAAGTAGAAGTGGAGTTTGTTTTCAGGCCAGAAAGGAAAAAGAATGTGCAATGTGGATTTAACATACTAGTGAATAATAAGGGGTTTCCACTCTAGGTTTATAAACGTTGGAATTTGTTGATCCCATCTTAAAGTAATTAAACATAATCTTGTGATAGATAATCTGATTTCCTGATTTGTTTGTCTCTTTTGTTGAGTACCTTTTTTAATAAAAAAAATTAAATACAATCGTGCTTCTTTGATGAAAGATGTTTCTGATTTTTTTTCCCAATTTGTTTTGTTTAATGAATTATAGTAACTGTAGCTTGGTTGCTCTTTGACGTATCAATGCATAATTTGTGGAATCTTGGATTAGAAATATGAAATAATGATAGAAAATGAAAACTCAAAGAATTGGATGTAAAATGAGCATCTGAGTTTTGTTAGTTACCATCTCAGTCAATGAAACTAGGTTCTCAAAGATGTCATTTGTTTATCAGTAGAAAATCCATAAACTATTTTTATTGAAGGATTTTATTTTTCAAGTGGAAGCTTGTAATTGATGTTAGCACTGTGGTTCCTACTTTTATTGAAATTGTACAAATCGATTCTATCATCTACCACATGCCATTGTTAATATTAACACCAAGCTTTATTTCATGATAATAAAACCAACGTTAGAGCTGCCTACTGCATATTTATTTTCTATATTTGTCGAATAATCCATATTTAAGCAAATTAGCTTTGATCGTTTAGTTGAGTATCCCATAGCTCTTTCTCTCATCGGTCACTGATATCTTGAATAAATTTTCCTCAAGGTTCTAGGAAAGATCTGGTCTGTAGCATTCAAGTATCATTTCCGTATGCCACCATATTATACACTTGTCTTGCGTTCCCTAGCTTCATTGGAAGGTAATGTGTGAAGAACTGAAGATCCTTTATACGTGACTCTAGGTTACTCATCTGTCATCATGCTGATGCCTATAAGTAGTTCATTGCATGATGCATGTATAAACATCTAGTAATATAAAATGTTTTATTGCATTATCAAAATTCTTGTTACATTTTCTTTTTGTCAACTTGAATTTTGCTTTTGAAAATTTCAGGTTTGGCTATAGCTGCGGACCCAAACTTTAAGACCTTTGAAGCTGCATATCCTTTTGTTGTTCGGAAACTCCTCACAGAAAACTCAGTAGCATCAAGGAATATATTGCATTCGGTATAAGAAGTCCCATAAACATGCATTCTGTTCCATCAATCTGCTCTACTGTAAAATTTTATCATTCCTTTGTAGTTTCTATGTCCAGAGAATAAACCCTGAGCCTTTTCAATAAATAAAATCGAGAATTCAAATTTTTATATATTCTTTTGATATATGAATCTTGGTTCAACCGCATCTTTGCATGAATCAGGGTAAATATTCCATCTTGATGTTTCAGAAATTGATAATCTTAACTGTTAAGAGTTGGCAGGCTATGCTTCATTCAAATTTTTTATTCAACAGCATTTCAAGGGTTTATGTTGCGTAGGCTACTGTTGTTTGTATTCAGTGCAGTTTTTGCTTAATATTTGTCAAAATACTAAGATCACTGAATACTTATTTTTAAATTTCTATTTGATATATATCTCTCTCTCTATAACTTTAATATCTCCTGTTCAGGTGCTACTAAACAGGAAGAAAGAGTTCCGATGGCAAAGGCTTTCCTTATTCTTGAGGGTAGGTGCAACCAGGTATGTTGAGAGTTAAATGCAATCATTATGTTGCGGATTCTGTTCTTTAGGAGGCAGTTGATTCCCCCCCCTTTTATTCGTAGTACTTAACTTTTATGTTTCAATTTTGTTGTGAACTACAATGTGATAACGATATCCATATAGTGATCCTTTTTCCTTAAGTTTTGTGCTAAATGTGTAAATTACTAAATGGGTTGAATTTGGGATGGGTTATTCATATTCTATACATAATTGACCTTATTATCTAATTAGTGTTTTTCTTTAATTTAAATTTTGTGCTATTAGTGTATCCTTTGGGGATTTTGACAGCTTGTATCTTGGGCTATTGCTATGGATGGAAGCTAGTGTTGGTATGAAATTTGAACACATCTGACTTGACTTTCAAAGGAATAAACCTTTAGTGTATGCTATCGGGATCTCCAATAAAAAATTAAGTTGTGGAGAAACCTTCTTAGATGTATGTCATAGTACTGCCACGATTCAATCTGAAACTAAATTGCCAACACGTGGTAGTTAGCATGTGAAGCTCTATTTTTGGTTTCCTCAAATTAGATTGTTCCCTCAATCTGTAACGTGTTTTTTCCCTCTTTTATTGGTGATAAGTAGGCCACGTGACCATTGGTTTAAGGTCAAATTTCTTGAGATATAAGATTTGTGACATTTAATATTTTTGGAATCAAGATTTCATTCCCTTACAACAAATGATAGGAGGTCTATTAGTGGAGACTTATTCCACCCAACTCAAGTATGCTCTTCCTTCCTCACTTGGTCTAATCTGAAATCTTAGTGCATGATCTCAATGTGTTTTGTATTTGCCACATTCTCAAGGTGTCCAAGAACCATTCATACCTTTCCCCCCTTAAGGTTCAGCCTTCCTCATCTAATTAATGGACTCATGGAGGGCTGTTTTAGAATGCTCCAATTATTTGATAGATAGAGCATTTCTTGATTCTGATGCTTTTGTTTTTGGATCAGGAAAGCCTTGCAATCAGTGGCATCAAAAAATGAGACTTCCCCTGATCATTTACCAAATAAAGCTGGTGGTGTGTATTTGATATTGCAAACTTGGTCTTGAGGCTTTTACCATCCAAAGATGGTGTTGTGCTCAGGAGACTTCTTATGACTGCTGTGAGTTGCTATGAGCTATTTATCACATTTTTTGTGCGCTTAAATATTTGTCACGGTTCTTATTGGGGATTATATTCTGGTTTATTAACATTTCAATGTTCAATTGGTTTATCATAGATTGGTAATGTTCATATGATTACTTGCTACGTTTGTTTGATACAGCGCATGCTACGTGCTAGTTTGAAGAGGATGGAAATTCTTATCGCTTGTTATTTTTTGGCTCTAAATTGAGGGATTTAACTTATCGTCAAATCTAAATTGGATAAAGCGTCAGCTTTTGATGACTCTTCTTATTCTACTATCTTGCATGATAAGTTTGGGTAATTTAGTATATTCTTAATGGAAAGCCAAATGGAGCATGCAGACGGTATATTTGTGTTTGATGGGTGTTTTTACATGGCTTATATAATCCTCTCTCACTGGGTAAGAAACTCACTTTTCATTGAATGAACAGGATGGAGCTTCATTAATCAAAGCAATGGTATCCAAGGAGGCAAAGCCATTTCGCCAACATCTTTGTGAGATCATAGCTGACATAATGTGCCAAAGAGTAATTAAATTATTGGACAAGGAATCACAGTGTCTCGGTATTCCCAGGCAAATGGACCTGGCAACATAGAATCAGGTTTACCTGCTAGATCACCCTTGCCTGCATATGATTATATTTCCATCTTTAGAGATCCGCGACTTAGAGTAATATTCTCTAAGGCACTAAAATCTGCAAGTAGAGATCCCATATTGATGCTGAGGTTTTGCTGGGCTTGCATTATTGTCATCGTTACATCTTCTGCTATGGCTTGCCATCGGGTTCTAGCGTGTCTCTCTGAAGCTTACTTGCAGCCAATTTTTGATGCTCCAAAAAGATATGCAGTCGGGGCATGATATTGTCATCAAATTTCTGGGTTTCTCCATTGAAAGAAATCATTTTCTTTTGCGATAGATACAAGATGGAGGTTTATTGATTCGCTGGTAATGCAGTATCGCCATTTTGATGTCAGGCAGGTGAAATAGTTACATAGACGATACAATTAAACACTTCAAAAAAAAAAAAAATCCAAAAGTCTTGATATGCAATGTTCTGGTTAGATACTGTAGCTTTCAAATATGGAGAAGGGCTGCATTGATTTTGCTGCAGTCCTGAGCTACGTGCTTTATAATTATGTACAGTTTCATGTAAATTTGTAAATCCATAGCAAGGAGGCCTTTTGATTATTAATATGGTATGTGGTATAGGCTTTAGTACTTGTCAATCATTTCCCGTAGCTTAAAATGAGTCAATTATTTTAATTATTAAGACTCGACTCTTTGTGGAATAAAATCTCTAAACTCGGCTAAATTAAATTAAAAATTGGGTCAATGTTTCCTTCTATTGAAATTTGACAGTTCTGTCTTTTCAATCATTGAATAGCTATGATTATGTGAATATGTATTAATTTGTTTTGGACTTAGTAGTTTAGTGTATCATTGTAAAAATTATGCAGTGAAAGTAGGAATAAAAAGAGAATTTTGAGACACAAAAGAAAGTATGAAGACTGAAACCTAAAAAGTCATCACTTAAAGCTAAAAAATCTGACAATTCCCCCCTATTTTGGGTAATCACTCAAGAAGCCACTCTTGTGCCAATTGATAAAATTGAAATCAATTGCCATTAAAAATGTAGGAGACCATCTTGCCATCCTAACGTTATTTTCATTATTATAACTATTTAGAGAGCCAAGTATGGTGTTTTTGGCCCCAAAATCAGATTTGGGATCAATTTCCTGCATCTGAGCATACTTGTAAAGCTTCTCATTGAAGATCACCTGCGGATCCTTCTAATCAAAGCACCATTTTTCGTCATAAGCATCCTTTAAGAACACAACCCAGTTCATCTCTTGTCCTGCCAAATAAAACGTTTTGGGTTGCCTCAGAAGCATATGGTAAGTGTGCTTAGTTAAACAAAACTCCTCCTTAAAACCACAATGTGATGAATCGAAGCCCTCTTTCCAATGTCAAGCTCAAGAACTCATGTATCACCCCTACCCTGTACTTCTCTGCCTCCAGGGTCCATACATCCAATTTAGACCCCTCTGAATAAGGGATTACTAATGGAAGTGTATTCAACAAATTGAGCTTCCTTTTATCATCCATGTCCAAATCCAAATCCTTCCATATTTCACAGGAAACTTAAATGCCTTCTTAGCCCTATCCTCATCATCATGAACTCCTTCTCAAGTGCACTCACAGCCAACGAAGGGTCCCAATTGACCAATTCAGTATTCTCTTCCCATCACCCTCCACCACTATCCTGAATAATTCGGGTACTTCACAACCCGGTCTCTGAAGTCATCTGGAATCCCAAATAGCATCCTGCAATGATGAATCTTACTTAAAGGAATCCGCTTATTGGCAGACATCATCAGCAATTTGCGAACTTTATCTACTCGGTCCGTCTCCATGGTGTCCATGATCGATTGCTCTTCTGAAAGCAACTCCTCCATAAACTCTGTGAAGCCAAACCACCTTTTCCCATCAGTGTGCCTATAAGTTTCAAAAATTACAGGATGGCGCTGGATTGAGCGGGAAAACCTTCCGACCACGGGGAAACCCTAACTCATGGTAGAGCTTGCCAGCATCGTCAAGGCGTAGCACGTGTTCAGGTTGCTTGGATAGGAATTGTTTAGACTTGATGAGAAATTTGAACTGGATATCACGTTCAACGATTGTTCAAAGTGAGGTGTACGATTGGCCTCAGTTTGGACAAGCTTGTTCGAGGGCTTTCTTTCTTCTTGTGCTTCTTCTTAACTTTTTGGGGGTTTAGTGGCGAGAGGAGAGGAGGTGGAAAATGGAGAGATAAAGCCCGGCAGACAGGGCTTAACCAGGTCAAGATTAGGGTCCAAGGAAGAGAATGAGATACAGAGATTGGCAGTGGTAAGGGATTGGGGATTTGATTTTGACGTTAGATGTTTTTTTATCTTGGACCTTTGTAACCTTAATTTGGACTTTGTCTTTACAGATAAATAGGAGTTAATTAAGAGGTTAACGGGTAGTTAAGGTAGTTAGTTGGTTAGTATTTATAAAAGGAAATAAGGGTCATTGTAATGCGCGTATTGAGACTAATGGAATAGTGTTCGTTCTCTACTGTCACGCCATAAACTAGTAGGTGTGACCAGCTGGAATATGGAATAACCCTCATTCCTAAAGCCTGAAAACATATAAAAAATTATAAACATTCATATAGATAGACACACACACACACAAGAGCATTAGTTCTTATATACAAAATATTACACTCATTGACGAAATTTAAGCAAAGTCTTCTCCATAAGTTAAACTTCCCAAAATTTCGATGACAACCCAAAAGATCAAAACAGCAAAATGGAGCTCTGCTCCTCAACAATATATACATATAATCATGTAAAATTGAATATACATGTTCGAACATGTAATATTTTCCGGTTTCAACATAGGAATTTTGTAACTCCTAATTATCCAATAGTATCCCCTATATGTTCATCTTCCCAACACAATGCATTGCTTTTTTTTTTTTTTTTTCCAAGCATTTCCTCAAACACTCGATATGCATCCCCATAGCTAACACAAAACAAGTAAATTTAATCCTTGAAATTTCTAGTCAAACATCTTTCCATCATCATTTTGAAGTTACAAGACTTTTAAATTTCATCTCATAACAAGATTTAAGTTAAAAGAGTCCTGAAATCAGAATTTAAATTCTTCCCACCTTCACTCAACAACCAGAAAATACAATTAAGAAAATACCTCCCAAAATGCACTCTTTAGCCTCCATAATTCAATTAAATTTTACTCCAATTTCCCTTTAACCCCACTTCATAACTACCCAATGCAAGAATCAAGAGGTAGGAGGAAGAAGATTACACATACCAACCCACACCGACGCTACAGGGAAGAGAAAGGAAGAATTGAAGCTGGCACATAAACACCACCACAATGCTGAAGCAGTGAAGGAAGAAGGTGAGTGATTCGGTGAGGTAGAATGGAACACGAACTTGACCTACGCCAAACCAAACAAACACCAGCGACGGGACAGAAGAACGGAAGAAGCTTCACAGCTTCATTCCTCTCTTGTAAGTGGAAGCTTCGAAAAACAAAACGCCTTCGGTCCGAGGGAGAAGCTGTTATTTTACGTTTTTTTACTTATTGGGAAGAATGATATCTAAAACCTTTGAAAAATATTAATTATAATTAAGCAATCTAAAATTTTAGAAAGGGAATATGGTTTTGGTTGGGATTAAAATTTTCTTAACTGAATTTTTAAATACTCATCCTTTATATTTTCAATATTTTTGTAGTACTTGTATTCCATATTTTAAATACTTATTTTTAACATTTTCAATATTTATTTCTTCAATTTTTAATAATTATTTTAAATATGTTTAATACTCATATTTTATATTTTTATTTTGACTATTTTTAATACTAAAATTATTATTTTCAGTATTAAAAATACAGAAAATGAATATTAAAAATATTTAAGATAATTATTAAAAAATAGAAGAATTGACTATTAAAAATGTAAAAAATTAGTGTTACAGAAAAATTAACTCAAAAAATTTCAATTCTATCCAAAGACATGAATTTTATCTAAAATTTTGAAATTTTAAGGTCTTCAAATGTAAATAATGTTATTCTGGCCAAGAAAAAATGTAAATTATGTTATCAGGGATCTTTAAATGTAACTTTCCCTACTTACAATGGAAGGCGGTGATTAGTTGGGAATTTCAACGGGCAAGATGCATCCACAGAAACGACGTCGTTATTTATTAATGACGCTCAGGTTACAGATTCAACGGTCAAGATTAGCGTACATTAGGCGCGCATGATGGACAGTAACAATCGACAATCGTTAGGCATTCAAAACGCGCTAGATAGATCGTCGATCCCGAGACCGACTTGAAACGCTAAATGAATCATGTGACAAACCCGAGCTCACGTCAATGGACGTTACTTCTATCTTCCGCTTCACCAAGGCTCTCTGATCTTCATTTTCTGTACCCTACTATCTCAGCAACTAACGTGAATCCCAGCTCACATTCTCACCCGCCATGAGCACTCCCGCTCTCTCAGGGGTACGATACGGATCTTTTTTTCTCTCTCCCGGATTTTCATTCTTGAACTCTTTCGATTCTGATCTTGGAATTCCATTTCTTTCGTTTAATTGTTATTAGGCGGTTCGATTCGCGATTTTTCTCACTCTGACTGATTATTGGCAGGGCACGAGCCTTTTTTCTGGGTTTACTCGTTTGTGCAAAGGCCTAGCGGTGGTACTGGTGGGTGGCCACATTGTGATTCAGATTTTCCCTTCTGCTGTTACTTACCTGGCCCTTATTCCCGCCAGGTATGGTTTGATCTAGTGCCTGCTGCTCAAATTTTGTGGTATTGAGTTTCGGTGTCTGAGTGATGACCAGTGAAGGACTATCGAAAGCAATAAACCGAGTTGTTGGAAACTGGTGATGGCGTTGCTTGAAATTTCTGTCTTGGATCAACAGCTTAATAGCTTTGATTTGCACATTGAACTGTAATTTGCATCTAATCTATGCGATCAGTTTTCTTTATTACCTATTGAATGATCGAAATCAACTTTCTGAGTTACGTTGTGGTGGCATCTAAGTTTGTGGTGTTGAATAATATTTTGATTGCGTTGTCATTACTATCGGTTTGGCGGAGAGTGGACTTTGGAATGAGTAGTTTTTCTTTAGAATTGAAATCAGTGCAATCTAACTTGCTTTAAACACTTAAACTCTACCAGTATTATCCTAAAATTCCATGGTGAACGTGGTCATTTTGCTTAATTTTCCTTGGCCAAGTTTTGTTATCCTATCTGTTTGGACTGCCATTTCTTCCGTGGACAATCTCAATCCTTTCTACTGGAAGGAAACTTTTGCTTAAATTTTCTGGCTGAAATTGAATTATTTCTCCTTCTAGAAGAAGGCAAAGGGCTGCTCGATAGACTCTTTTTCCCTCCTTTTTTTTATTTTTTTGTGTGTGTCCAAGGAAAACGTATGACTATGGTGAGATAGATGTACTTTTATGCTTTAGAAGGTTCAGACATTTTTGTTGTTTCAAACTGGATTGCTGTACAACATGATGCTTGACTGAAAGTGTTTCAGTCGATTGTTGTCTTCTAATGATGATGTGATAAAAGAAGTTAATATTGTCTACTTCTTCTATTTATTTATTTATTTTTTATAATGCCTAACTTCGTCTGTTATAAATTGTACTAATAAGAACATGAGACAATTATAGTAGGATAAACTTAAAATTGTAGTCATCATTATAATTATTCTTCACTCTTCATGAATTGAGATCTTCTTTTTTCCTTGAAAAGCTTTGTTTTTTTGTGCTTAGTGATGCTTTTAAGTTCTATTTGCTTGCTTGTACTTAATAACGTTTTATGCAGATGTGGTTTAAGACATGGTTTGTTTTAGTTGGCAACTACGGTTGTTGATCATTTGTCCAAAGTTTGACGAGGTTGCAATTGTTGAAAGTTTTCATTTGTTGGTTGGATGACTCAATTCTTTTCCTGTTCAATTCATTTCGCAGAACAATCCCTTTTGCCTGGAACCTCGTTTCAGCTGGTTATATTGAACAATCCATTTATGGGGTATGTTTTATGCACTTATGGTTACTTCAAATTATGCTTATGGACTGCATGAATTGTACACCTCAAAGCTGTGACAATTCATTTTTATAGGTAATTGTCAGCACCGTTGGCCTCCTTTTCATTGGAAAGCTGCTTGAACCTGTATGGGGTTCTAGGGAATTTTTGAAGTTCATCTTTGTGGCTAACTTTCTGACTTCTGTGTGTATCTTCATCACTGCTATTGCCTTGTACTATATTACGAGGCAAGAAATTTACCTGTAAGTATATGAAATCCATATCCATCTGAGATAATGTGTTTTGCACTCCCTGTAAATTCGTTAGACTTCTTCAATTAGTTGTTAGGTCTTTCAGCACGTTGAAATTGGTGCTACATTTTGTCATGCGGTGGTAAATAAAGGCCCTTTTCAAGCTGGATCACTTGCGCCCTTTCTTTTTTCAGTATATGAGAAAATTTGCTAGTGCAATGCTTTTAAGCTTAAAAAGATGTGCTAATCATGTTAAACCTGGATAGTCAATTTGCTTACTGCGTAACTTCTTTGCTTCTTACAATATGATTCTTTTTGACATTTTGCACTTTTTTGAACTGCAACTTTTGATTTTCACTCTTTCATATTGTTCTAGGTATATGCCATTTTCCGGATTTCATGGAGTTATTTCTGGCTTCTTGGTTGGCGTCAAGCAAATGATGCCAGATCAAGAGCTACCTCTCCTCAAGATAAAAGTGAAGGTCTAATACACTTCCCTCTTTTCTCAAATTTGTTACTTTTCAGAAGGATCAAGTCTTTCCTGTACCCTGAATGTCACCACTTTAAACCTTTTTCAGTGGTTACCATCTATTGCTATACTGCTTTCCATTGCTTTGAGCTTCTGGATACTAGAGGCAGTATCATGTCTTCCCACTGTAATATTTGGGACATACATGAGTTGGATTTACCTTAGATACTGGCAGAGGCGAGTAGAAACAAAACTCAAGGGTGACCCAAGTGATGATTTTGCTTTCTCCACATTTTTCCCAGAATTTTTGAGGTAAGTTAAAGTTTTGATATACTATTATATATGATTTTTTTGGTGTAAAATGGAGGAAAGTACAAATCAAAACAAAAAGGCCTTAAGCCCAAATACTGTGATATATGATTATATGCCAGGACTTCTGACTTTTCACGCTCTAAGTACTTTTTTCCTTTTCGTTTTTTTATCCTTCTTGCAGACCAATCATAGACCCTATTGCATCAATATTTCATCGAATGCTCTGTGGAAGATATGATGCCTCTAATAATGCGCAAGGTCCCACTCTAGGGGGTGAACCCTTGCCTGGTTCTGACCCCTCTGAAGCATCTCGGAGACGGTAATGTCACATTCTATACTTTAATATTAATTGAATGTATCAATCCATTCTCAGATGGACATTCCTACTGAAATGATTTCATAAGGTAGCTATCAGGTGACTAGATAATAGAGTTTAGGTCTATCCTTTTTCTTTTGCGCTTTACTTTTATTTTTTTTCCTGTAGGATTGACTTGCTTGCTGGTAACTTAAGCTAAAAAGAAAAGAAAGGAGATTTTTTTTTCCTTTGTTACTTCTCGTGTCATTTTACCACAGAAGAAAATTTTTATATACAATTTTTTAGCTGCCATATAACATTTGTAATGCTCAATGAATAATTAAGAATAAAGAGAATTAAAACAAAACCTGTCCTTCGTTTCTTGATACTTCTACTTCCCACCATGAAAATAGAACACACCTTTTGCTTTGGTTTGAAGAGTCGGCAACCTCATTTTCTGACAAATAGTGGGCAACTAAATCTAGCTGATCAAACTTGATTCCAAGTGACAGTTTGTTTCTGATTAAAGACCGTTGATTTAATCTGTGGTCTGTTGTGACAAAATAAAAGCTGTACCACTGGGACTGATTTTCTTGTTGCAGAGAGAGAGGTGCAAGAGCTCTGGAAGAAAGGTTGGCTGCAAAGATGTTGGCTGCTTCTCAGAGTGCAGGAGAGTTGCGAACAGTTGGTGCTGAAAATGTATGATTCTGATCTCTTCAGATTTTGCAGATTGTTGGTGTTGCGGAAAACTCGTGGAACAATTTGATGTCGTGCCATGTGGAATGTATTTTTGAATAGGAAGAAGCTTTACAAAATTGAGATCAGGTCCTTGGAACTTTAAAATAAATGTAACTAATTTTCCTTTTAATCCAATTCTTTTGTTCTGTTTTTAAAAAATGTAGTTCATTTACACTGACAAAAACCCCTTCATTGTGTATATTTACTAGGAATTGTTAATTTGCCCAAGCCGCACACTCTTGCGTTAGCCCATATAGAATCCTTGCCAAAAAAGTGAAAAACCAAATCGATGTGACATTTAGACTTTTCGCAAGTAGGACATTTAAGGAAGTCATTAATTGAGATGTCTTAATTAGTGGTTTATTGGAAGAATTAGTTTGGGTTATAGTAATAACAATGTCTTGCAATTCATGTAGACTCTGTTAGGGAATAGCCTTATATATTCCGACTTTGTCGACCTTTTTTAAGCCAGCCTTTATTAGCCTAGACCAAACTTTAGCCTCCAAATCTGAAACTGATCCTATGACTATGAGTCTTGTCTTAAAGAATCGTATAATATAATTAATTAATTAATTAACTAACTAACTAATTAATTAAAATATAATTAGAAGAGTAATATAGGAAATAAGAATATTGAGATGGATGTGTGGTTATTTTAAAAAAAAAAAGATACATAATGATCATATTAGAAAACAAGTTGATATGCCATTTATTGATGAAAAATGACTAAAAAAAAATCGTTTAAAATGGTTTAGTCATATGCAAACAATTTAGCTATGAACAAATAGTCTTTAACCTTGTGAAGAGAAGTAAAAGGAGACAAAAACAGATATTTAAAAAGTTATTAATTGATATGCTTTAGTTTAATGGGTTATTGAAAGAATTAGTTTCAAGCATAGCAAAGCATAATATGTCATATGATTCATATGATTGATCTTGTAAGATGAAAATGTTATTATTGTTGATTGATTGAAGAAGTAGGGCCTAAGCTACTCTGACTTTATCCACCTTTTTTATTTTCTTTTTTTCGATCCTTTATTTCATGTTTAAATAAGATGGGCCTTTCAGAGCATTTTGTCACGGGCTGAGAGTCTGGCGCAGCACACGGCGCCCGTGCGGCATCCTGGAGGACCCCATAATCCTCAGGACAAGCCTTACCACATACGGATCCCACTAGTTTCGCCCTGCCATGGGCTCATCAGGGAGGCGGCACCAGCCCCCGACCAGTTGTGCACTCAGCCCGAAGACTGAGGCAGAACACCCCCAATGCCAATGTCGCCCCCTTTACCCATATTGGTCGAGGCTAACCAGCGGATCGTTCATTATCTTGGTCTTTACACGGTCACGGAGATATCATCCGTGACATTCTCCCACACCTAATCTAGCACGCCCTCGTGCTAGGGGAGAAAGACTCCGTCCAAGGATCGTACGTACAGTACTGCCACAAACACATCAGCTTACTGCTGAGTGGCCACCCGAGTCCTGCACTCTTCGGACCCACTCGCACCCGCGAGCCAACAGGAGTGGAGTCGACAACGGCCAACCTTCCCGCCCGAGTCCCCACGTTTGGACCCACCTGCTCGAAGGCCATTCTGGAGCGGTGCCGAGGTCGACCAGTCCCAACGTGGGACCCCACAGGCACACGACAGTAAAGTACGTCCTGCTCTGATACCACTCTGTCACGGGCTGAGAGTCTGGCGCAGCACACGGCGCCCGTGCGGCATCCTGAGGACCCCATAATTCTCAGGACAAGCCTTACCACATACGAATCCCACTAGTTTCGCCCTGCCATGGGCTCATCAGGGAGGCGGCACCAGCCCCCGACCAGTTGTGCACTCAGCCCGAAGACTGAGGCAGAACACCCCCAATGCCAATGTCGCCCCCTTTACCCATATTGTGCGAGGCTAACCAGCGGATCGTTCATTATCTTGGTCTTTACACGGTCACGGAGATATCATCCGTGACAATTTGCAACCTACCTACAGCAATTATGGCATGCTCTACTAATGGGCCCCATGAGCTCCAACATCTCATCAGTTGTGGTGTGCTTATTAATTAGAACTAATAATTTAAGTCAAATTTAATGAATTAGTTTGAACCTATCTAAAAAAAACATAAGACTGAACTTAAAAAAAAAGATATTTTTTTTTATGTTCAGGCTTATTCAAACTTACCTGAATAGGTCAAAAAAAATTTGGGTCAAGCCTAATCGAGTTCGGGCTTAGCTTGAATACCCGAATAAAAAATTTTATTTTTTAAAAATATATAAAATATAGTAAATATTAATTAATTATTTAAGTCTTAGGTCATTCTATATTAAAATACTATATATTGGAGTCCCATATATCATTTAAGTTTCAAAAAAATATATTTTATATTTTTATAAAATAAAAATAATTAATTTTAAAGTAAAAAATTAATTAAAAATAATTTTAAAAATAAAATTTGGATATTCAAGTCGCCCATAACCCAAAGGAATTCAGGTCAGGCTTGACTATTCAAGCTTTTTAAAAAAGCGAGCCTATTCAAGTAGTGCTTATTCAAGCCCGAATAAGCCCGTCCCATCCAAATTTTTAACTCTATTACTAATACAAAGTATTTCTTCATTAATATATATATATATATTGAAATTTCTATTTGAAGAGGACTTGGTATTCTAATTTTTTTAAAAAATAATATTATCTCAACTTTAAAAAAAATTACAATATTACACTACCATTAACTTATGTTTTTGCTTTTAAACTAATTTAACACATGTCCTTCCCTCCCTCATTGAACTATTCTTCCTCCTCAATTGGTTCTTCTTCAAGATGACATAGCACTCTTTGAACTCCACCATTAACAGGTTCCATCAAGAGATTTGAAGCTCACAACGCTTTTCTTATGGCCTCTTTCTTAGCTTTCTCTAATTCGATTACACAATGAAGTTAGTTCACAAAATGCAAAACCAAAACCTCTACAAAATCAATTTCAAAAACAAAGCAAGGAAACCATGCGTGAACATAGATGCCTGCAAGGAAAAAACAGCGAGCTCGCCTTCCGTAAATTACTGTAACATCCTAAGATCTAATCCCAAGGTTAAATTGATTAATTAAGTGATTAAATAAATTAATCAGAGTAATTGGGAGTTATTATCAAGATTTGATTCGCCATTTAGGCCTATTAGACCCTCTAATAGGTTTAGAATAGGGCTTGAAAGGTTATTAGGTCAAGTTGGGCCCAAATATTGAGGCTTAAGTGAAGATGCCTATTTTAGGTTGTTTAGTGCAGTGAAGAGTGCATTTCGCTGCAACGAACATCATAGAAATTTTAAAATCACATAATGCATTTAGTTCAATGCTGAAGGGATTTTTGAGGGTTTAGGTTGAGAGAAATCAAAGGGCTCTATTAGGGTTTCAATTATGTAAACCTTGGAAGCACTTTTGAAGTATTCAAGGGTTTGGGTAAGCTTCCTAATCCTATATCATCTCTTCTTCTTGGAACATTGGCAAGTTTTAGGTGCTTTGGTAGTAATATCCAAACCTAGGCTTGAGTTCCAGCAATTCCTAGAGCATAAATGGAATTTATTATTCTTATTTAATACTTTTACACCAAAGTTTTGGTTAATGGCAACATTAAATGCCAGTAAGGAGGGTTTTAGAGTTAACCTTAATCATAAATAATTAAGTTTAAGCTAATAAGAGTTAATGGTATTGATTATTAAGCCTAATAGGAGTTAAATAAGCTAATAGAAACTAGTTTTCAGGCTAAATATGCTTAATTATGCTTAGTGAGAGATTAGGGCTTAATCATGATTAAGAATTAATTAATGACAATTAGTCATTAATGCTGTCTTGTGAATTTGGTTGCAGACTAAATGTGCTAGTAGCTTATGTTTGGAGTAGCTCTCTTGTGAAATCTAAACTTAACTCTTAGGATAGCAGCCCAAGAGTGAAGGTAATTAGGGATTTAATTATTGTATATCATTATATCTACAACCGTGTTTGATTGTTATGAATTAATGACATGACATGAGTGACATACATGATTGTTAAATAATACTTATGCTCAGTAGAGATGGAACTCTTGATGTTTATGACATGTAAATTGTGGGCCTGGATTGGCTTTAGATATGTGTTTACATGATGAAATTGGATTGACTATATGTGTTGATAGTATGAATATGTTGTTGTTGAGTAACTGGTGATTATATGTGTTATGATCACATGAAAGTTTTGCTGGTAATGAGAATGTTAACCTCCTATGATATGGATGAGATAAATTACATATGTTGAGTTGAACTTGCATGAGCATAATTAGTGGGAGTTCACCTTAAAGTAATAGACAATTATATTGATAAAATTCATATGGTCTAGCTTCTATTGAGTTTGCACATAATGGTTAGAATATTTTAGTATTAATATGCTTAGTATTACTAATAACCTATGGGTGTGGCATGGATTGAACAAAATGCTTAATATCACTAATCTTGGCCTGGACAATATGGGTCAAGTGTAACATCTTGAAAAATTTAACTTAAGGTTAATTAGGTAATTAAAGATAAATTGGACAATTGAGAGTTAATTCGGATTAATAGATAATGTACGGATATCTAATAGGTCTATCAGGACCTAATTAGGACTTAAAATTGGACCCTAACTAATATTGGGTCACATTTAAGCCTAATTAGATGAACAATGTTCAGAATCTAAAACTTTGATCTTTAGCCGTAGCCAAAGCCTGATTTTTAAAGCTTCAAATTTGCTTTTCAGCTTAAAAAATTAGAGAGTTGAGTGAGAATTCGAAGGTGAACAAAGAAGGCTCTGCTAGGGTTTGTTGTGGGCATCCAATTAAGTCTATTTGGAGCTTCCCATTACATGGGTAAGTACTTATAACCTCTTCTCTTTCTCTCTTGTGCATTTTCTTCACTGTTTTTGGGTAATTTTTTGGGAATCCGAAAATGGGTTGTGACTTTGCCTAAGTTTTTGACTTCAATGGGATTAATGAGTGTTTATTTAAGTTTCTAACTTTATGTTATGATGCCATTGATATTTTAGGATTTAAAAGTAAGGTTTGGAGTAAACTCTAGAGTTAATTAGTTAAGCTAAGGAAGTTATGAGTTATTAAAGATGTTGATTAGACTAATGGGAGTCTAAGTGAACTAATGAAATCTAAAAATAGATTTGGTTATGGGTAGATGACCATAATGGGATTTTTGGTTTAGGCTTTGATTAGAGTCAATTAAAGATAATTAGTCATTAGTGATTATTGATATATTTGATTGTAGATTGATCATTATTGGTGCTAATGAGCTTATTGGAGGCTTCATTTGATATTCATGGGTACTCTTCGTTAGTAAACCAAGAGTTGAGGTAACCAAGAATTTAAGTATAGTGTATCATTATGTCTACATCTATACTTTAAGCATTATTATGGAGAGCTTGAAATGAGCAAAATGAGCTTATAAATAAATATATTGATTTTCAACTATTATTTAAATATGAAACATGACTCATTATGAAATGTTTGGCAATTATATTTATATAGATGTTAAGCCCATATTGCTTATAAGATGAATGTGTTAACATGATGAGTGGTCGTAATTGATGATGTTGGAAGAGATGTGGTAAGCATGCATATTTGTGATGAAATGCTTAATGATTATGTTTATATAGATGTTATTTGTTATTTGAAATATGAGTTGTTGGCCTGAATTGGCTATGAGTTAATTATATAACAAGCCATTGTAAACTATAACATGATGTAAACTGTAATAAAAATGCAAGTTCTAGTGATTATAAGGATGATAAATTACTATGATATGTATGAGCTTATATTCACATTTATGGATTGAACTTACATGATTATAATGGGTGAGAATTCACCCTAGCATTGTAAAAGGATTATAATAGAAAATCTACATGATGTAGCCTCCACTGAGTTTGCGTACAGTGGTTGGCATACTTCATTATTATATGTTCTTAGTATTGCCAATAACCTATGAGTGTAGCATGGGTCAGGTACGATACTCAGTATCACCAGTCTTGGATTGGACAATATAGGTTGGGTACTTATAATACCTCAAAATTCAAGTAGGAGAAATCCATGATCCAAGAGTGAGTGTAGAAGCCTTTGGCCAAATGACCCTTTACAATTAGAGAGGGGCTAGTCCAGTCACATAGGCTGGACCTATATGAGATAATAGCCCATGAATTCGGTCAGACGATATAAGAAATGGTATTAGGCGATTGTATTTGATCATGCGAAACACATTATAAAAATGTATTGTGAATAATGTTGGTTTGCCTTATGTAATATTAAACACTTAATTATTATGATTGCCATACTTTAATATACTTGATTAAATTACTTGGATACTGAGATGCTTATCTCATTCTTGTAGTTTAATATTTACAGGCGATGATCAAGTTAAGGGTAAAGGGGAGGCCTATGAAGCTAGAAACTGAGTAATTAATTATAATATCTTTAATTTTATCTTTTATGTGTAATTTGAATACAATATTTTTCAACTAAGGTCTTTCATATTAACTTATGTTTATTTAAAATCCACTTACATTTGTAATCTTTAACATTAAATTTAGTCATTTTTATATTGTCGTAGTCATAATAGGGTCCAAACCCCTAATATGACTATGGTAGTGTGTCAACATAATTTAAAAAAGTATATTTTGACTAGTTAAATGAGTTTTACATATTTTGAGTGATTATTTAGCTTGAATGCAAATAATTACATTTTCACTCATTATTATGTGCTTTATGATGGTTAGGTAGTCAATTTTTGTATCAGGAGTTTTTTTATGCTTGTGACTATTTAAAAAAGTGTATTAGGACTTATTGAATGTAGTTCAAGCCATCGTATTGACTAATGGCTTATGGTTTGAAATTTGGATACTTGATTAATGATTTTAGAAGCAAAAATGTGAAAGTGTGTCCTATATGTCCAAATTCTTTGTCTGATGTTAGATTGACATGAAACTATAACCATTAGCTAGATTATAAAATTGTTGACATATGAGTGCTTGAATCAACTCAATCGAAGATCCGAGTCAAAAGTTATACACATTAAAAGGTCACGATTGGGTTGCTGTCATGACATCTTTGGCCGCGGCTAATAGCTTTTTGGCTGCAGTCGAAGGACTTCCCAAGACCATTTGGCCACAGCCAAGAAAGAATTGAAAGTATTGGTTGCGGCTTAATGTTCTCTGACTGCAGCCAAGTATCTCTGTTAAATAAAAATGACCCTTTTTTTATCTCATTTTGACTTATTTTCAACTCTAATTATTTTTCATGCTTCCCAAATCCTTTTTACTCTAATTTATAATGGCTAAATGATCTTTTAAACTCAATTTTAAAATTTAATGATTTATGGGATCCTATCTCTTAAGTTTTTTCTTACTTAGCCTTTTTGAATTTTTATCTAGCTAAGGTTGATCCTTTTCTTTCCATAACATCTCTTATTATTAAATTAATTATAAATATCATGGTAACTTTACCTTAAGATTTAAGTATGTGCTAAGTATGTGTTTAAAAATTGGATGTTTTACATCGAGCACTTATGATACCTTAAAATTTAAATAAGGAAAACCCATAGTTTGAGAGTGAGTGTAAGAGCTTTTGGCCAAGCGACCCCTTACCATTGGAGAGAAGGGCTAATCCAATCACATGGATTAGTCCTATATGAGTTAATAGCCCATGCGTTCAGTTATGATATAAGAAGGAATACAAGATGGTTGCATTAATCATGAGGCATTGACATGTGAATACAAATGTTTATATAGATTGAGTTATGTATTATACACTATCCGATTGATCATAATTGCTATACTTTAATATACTTTGATTATATTTTTGATTACTAAGATTGCTTAATCTCACTCTCATTATTTAATGTTTTTCTAGCTGATGTTAAGGCCAAAGGAGAGGGGGAGACGCATCGACACTTAAGAACTAAAGATTCACTTGTAAAGTCTCTAATTTTGGTTTATGTGTAATTGGACTTTTGTTTTGCCAACGCTAAGATTTACGCATACTTTATATATGTGAATTCATTTGCATATGAGCTTGAATGTTGACTTGGGCATTTTTGGTAGTGGCCTTAAGTTTTGGCCCTGGTACAAATGTGTGATGACTTTGGTTCAATATTTGGGTGGTTTATTTATCAATTATAATATGAGTAATCATGCATGTTTTATTTAGCCTTATGATATGTGATTGGGAATGTTTGTGAAGGGAGAAACTTGCTTTTGTGCATGAAGCATAAATGCTATTTGGGCATTAAGTGTTCTATGATCCTCATTTGGTATTAAAATTGAGTTACAATTAGTGTCAGTAATTAGATACTTTAATTGACATTTACTATTATTATTAATAAACATTCAAGCCATGGTTAATCGTTAAAGTTAAGGATTATTAGTTAAGGAAGTCAAAGGTGTTGAACGACCGACGTCATTACAATTACAGCTTTTACAAACCATCATCTTTCTTGTGCTCTGTTCTTCTTATTCACCCTCTTCCCCACTAATAATACCTCTTCTTTTCTCTTCTTCGTGACATCACGACCCTGCATCATCTGCTACCATGAGAAGCTCCCCCCCCCCCAACCCCAATGTGTTATGCTGCGATACCACCATAGTTCTCTTGAGCTGGTTTGGGATACCAGTCTTGTAAAGAGAGACAAAACCAAAAATATATATATTACAGAAACGAGAAAAATAATTAAAAGCTTCAGAGTTAGAATTCAAGAGACTTTGGCCACATTCATGGTCAAGACAATGCGAATGCACGCAACACACACAGAATTGGACCCAAAGATCACAAAATCGAAATGAAAGCTAGAAGTCTCCCTCAACAAGAGGTATTCCGCGAAGATCCATGGCACTGACAAGATGATGAAACAGCTAGGAGCAAAGTAGTACAGGGAAGTGATGAGATTTAAGGGGATCAAACCGTAGAAAGAATTGTTCATGAGAATGAAAATCTCTAACCTTCCTCCATTATGCAAATCCTTCGAAACCATCCCGGTGAAATGATTACCAGTGACCTCAAGCATCTTGAATTTCCCGCTCGCGCCCAAAATTTTTGGCAAGATGAACAAGAAATCATTCTCCCATACTTGAAGAACTTCCAAATGTCGAAAGTCGTCGACAAATGATGGGATAAAGTCACGAAGCTCCGGCATGTTGAGTGTGATCTCACCAGGGAAGTCTCTGTCCAAGACAACGTGGGAGACATTGAGGATTGGCAGAGAAGTGAGTATGGCGAAGGGTCCAAGGGGCGGACAGAGAGAAGGCCACGTGCTAATATTTCGGTCAAATGGAAATATTTAACTGTTAACGTTTTTTTTGAGAATTAACAGTGAAGCAATATTGCATCTTTGTTTAAGTTCTAAGACAACGTGGGAGACATAGAGGATTGGCAGAGAATTGAGCATGGCGAAGGGTCCAAGGGGTGGACAGAAAGAAGGCCACGTGCTAATATTTCGGTCAAATGAAAATATTTAACTGTTAACGGTTTTTTGAGAATTAACAGCGAAGCAATATTGCATCTTTTTTTAAGTTCTAAGACAACATTACTTTAAAAAAAAAATTAAAATACCGAGTGCCTCTCACAAAAAAATTCCACAGCAATTGGGCCTTTTAACCGAAAAATATACTAAGCATCTATCTTCTTTTTTTTGCCCTTTTCCTTTGATAAAGACTAACCATCTCTCTTAAAGGAGAAAAAGATGGTGCACCAGAATTATACATCAGAATTACTTTCCCCTTTCGCCATAAACAATTTTACAATTTTTATACAGAAAGAAATATCAATTCATTTTTATCAGAGCGCTTCTGATCCTTGTAATCTCTGGTAAATATATCAGCACAACGTAAACTACGCCAAATGCCTGGGCTCAAGAATTTCACTTCAGAGCTTTGCAACTATCGTGTGTAAGCTAAATGACCTGTCTGACTCCAATTGCATCAATCAGCTTTCAAGTGTTTCTCCGGCAAAATATTGTTTATGCACCATTCTCCTGTAGTCTGCAAAGAGCATGAAACATTAAATTATATATCCCACATTCGAATTTCCATAATCAGAAAATTTACATGGCTCAACATAGGAAACATTATTTTCACTTGAAATTTGACAACATTTATAATAAGTAAATAAAGAGCCCAATGAAGCGTAAAAGTGTTTGCGTAACAAGTATTTGCATTGAACATGATGCAACACTTCCGAGAAGTACAAGAACACCCAAGCAATGTTTGGCATGTAAAAAAATATTTTCTAAAAAGGAAATGAGAAATGCACCTATCTCATTTTCTTCCTAAGTGCTTTTCTCATTTTCTTTATGAAAAACATTTTTCCACGTACCAAATATTGCTTTAAACAAATTTTGTCTGAAGGTGGTGGATGATGCTAAGTGTACTCCTACTTGATTATTTTTGTAAGCTTTGTTAGCTCTTGATCAGCTGTAATTCAAAAAAAAAAAAATTCCATGTACCAAACATTGCTTTAGACACTTCACAATATTAGTTTCCTCTCCGTGTTCAAAATATTAATACCAAAACAGGAAAGCTGTAAGAACCCATCTTCAAACACTGCGCATAATAACAAGTTAACAACATAGCCAGAGGCTGGCAAATTGACAAAAAAAAAAAAAAAATCAATCAACCTTCTTTATTGTTCCAAAGCGCTGCAGCATAACTGTTTAAAGGACTCTCTGGGTTAGGCTCTGCTATAAAAGCAAATTGGTCAGGCAAGCAATGGTTGAAACGCCAATGCAAATTCATGAATAGGAAAACGCAAACAGACCTCCCAATAAACTCTGAATCGACAGAAGAATAGTTCTGCAATCATAAGCTGAAGACCATTTGTCCTACAAAAAGACAAATAAGGTTTTAACTTTTAATTGGCGCTGGGAGAATGTACATAGTTGAATAATCATCAAAGACACAACAAAAGATATATCAACAAAAAAGGAAGGTCCAAAACCTTCAATAAACAGGCAGCGCCTTCAATTTTTTCAATTTCCTTCATAAGCTAGTCAATACCTGAAGAATGTCCAGGCAAATGTTGCCAAATTGGTCAACATTTGGATGAAAGCACATGGTCTCAAACTTAACTTGTGGTGGCTTAAAGGGATAGTCCAGGGGAAACCGTAAGGAGAGTTTATAAGATAAACCCTCATATATAGTTCCTTTTCCACCTTCAATCGTGCCAATCCATGTAAAAATGCTCTCGCCATCAGGAAAAGCTGATACTCCAAGATCTCCACCATTCATCTGCAGAGAAAAGTCACTATTTACAATAGCACCTTTTGACAAATCATATCCATGATAGTCAACTGTTAAGCCTTAGCTTCTTAATATTCAAGCACACGCAACAGAAGATTTTAGGTCAATTTGTGGTTAAATGTTGCAGACCTTATGACAAAATGCAAAAAATAAAAAAAAAAAAAAAAAATCCAAGCGACATACAATGTTATATTAAAATTGCAACTTAAAAATTCCGGGGGATTATCAGCAATGAACTCATAAGTCATAATTCAAAGCTTATAAGAGTCAAAACATTTCCAGGTAGACAGCATGCTTGCAAAGTGAAAATGCATATCGTTTCTTATCAGTAAAGCTGAGACCATGCAAGAAACTTCAAAACGAGGGCATCTTCTAAGACGTCATGATTGCAGTGTCACTTCCGTATTCAAGAAAACAAGCTAAAATTTGAAACAAAAAAAGGTACTAGGAAGCAGTACATAATAGCATGTAATAATTATTTGAAACACCATTCCAAGAACTTATCATCAATCAGCGCACAGTAAACTAACAAGCAGACGTGCATATATCAATAGCCATCAGAAAATTAGTCTGCTATAGTTAGCTCACAAGAAATAAATGAATTTCTTTGAAAGCGTTGTCCTTAAGAGGGCAAAATGTGAAAATCAGAGTAACTCGCATCCAGATATGCAATGAATTTCACTACCTACAAGTGTCCAATGATATGAAATTGAGGCAGAAATATCAGGGCAGAAGAAATCTCAATAAATAAAAATACCCGAACCCCTGCAACCCGGGGAAAAGCATATTTAGAGAAGACATCATGGCAGTAACAAGCGAGTTCGAGCCAAACTGCAAAGAGAGACAGATAAGCCTACCATAAGTGACATTAACTCCTTCTGCAGTCTGCAAGCATACGAAAGAGAATTAAACCATCACTCCAAGGAAAACGAGAAAAAAAACTCATTATAGAAACTATAAAATGGGAAGACGTTAATAATAGTAAAGGTTCCGGTATCATCTTCCAATGTGAAACGTGACGACAAAAGTAAACCATTATTTAAAATTCAAAATTCGTGCGACGTCAAGAAGGCAAAACAATCCCTCAATCAAGTCCCCATACAATTGTCACACTAAATTTACGCGAAACATGAAACAATAGAACAGCATACAAATTGAGAATTACAGCATGCGATTTTACTATCATCAGCCAAATATTTTTTTTTTTTAGAATCAGAAGCATAAATTTTAAAAGACTTGATCAAGTTCCGGCCATTCCAGAGGATCAAAGGGAAAATATGAAAGAAAAAAGAGATTGATTTAACCTCTGGGAAACAGAGGTTGTGTCTACAGGGTGAGGAGAAGCCGACGGTGGGTTAGATGGATGTGCAGAAGAGTGACGGTGACGATGCTGCTGCTGCGGGATCGACGAATAGTCGGGGATGGAGTTGGACGGGACCTCCATGGTAGCGATCGAATTCAAGATCAAGACGACCAAGGTCCAAGATGATGACGAAAGATCAATACAAGGCCAAGATTCAATTCAGTCTCCAGAAAGCGCGAACGAGAGAGAGCGAGAGACAGAGCTGCTACTAGAAAGATGGGAATTGGTTTTCGGCTTTTCGTTTCAGATTGCGGAGAGCAGACTGGTGGCCTGGTGGGGACTGATCGTAGCGTTCCATTCTTATGGACATTTTTCATTTTCATTCCTTAAATTATTATTAATTATTAATCTATCTAACTTTAAATTTAAAAAAGAATAATATTTCATTACCGTCTCCCAAATTACATATTTGTCCAGGGGTATTGTTAGGAATGTTTGGGAATTACGTTATTAGATAATATAATATCAATATCAATCACCATCATCGATTATCAATATATATCTATAAATCTTGTAAAATAATATATCTACAAATTTTATAAAATGAAGGAAATTGATAATGTTTTCCATGCTCTCAAGTCCTGTTACAGAATTTATGTTCTCCTAATATAAGAATATTTTTGCATCTCTCAGTCTCATATGCCCTGATCAAGTATTGATCAACTATTATTCTAAATGGGTTTGTTGCTGATAGTAGAGAGTAGTGCGATCACGGTGGAGGAGTTTTGTGCCTTTTTTCGACCAATGTCAATGAGAGGATGTTGGGTTTATTCACATGCTTCCTGAAGAATTCAAATCTCATAGCTTCAATTTGACTGGTTCAAAAAATTGACTCCAATCTCATTGGTTAATAAATTTTAAACTAATGTTAATATGAAAATTTTTCTTAATTCATTAATGAAATTTAATTTATTTTCTTATTTTTATATATTTTTAGTCTATTTTCATGGGAGCATTGATTCAAGAGTAATCTCATTTTTAAGTTTTCCTTATCAATAACATTAACTTCATTTAGTTATCCTTCTTCATTCGCTATACTTTCTCATGTCTTTTCAATTTTTCTAATCAATGAAATTTAATCTAATTTTCTATTTTTTATTATATTTTTAGTCTACTTTCACAAAAGCATTGATACAAGAGCAGTCTCATTTTTAAATTTTCTTGGTTGTTAGCATTAATTCCATCCAACTATCCTTTTGCAGGTGCAAACTTTTTCATGCATTTTCAATTTTCTTGATCAATGACATTTAATTTCTTTTCCTATTTTTCATGTATTTTCTTAATTTACTATATTTAATATCAACCAACTCTCATTAACTATCATCCATAAACATTATCTGTAAAAAAAACAAACAAGAAGTTTAAGTTTGATTTAGATCATCAATCCTTATCTCGTAATCTTGAACCTTTCAAATTGTGCATGTTTTACTATAGATTAAGCACTAGTAAGATAATGCAACAACTCTTCATCTTTTCACATTGAAGAAACAAGGTGGAAATGATTCGACGGACAATACATACTCAATTCTTTGACCATACATACATACATAAGAAAAAATATATATCTTCCTTCTTGGTGAGGAAGATAAGAATGTGCTTTCTTATACATTTTAGGCACAAATAATTTCTTATGCATTTTAGGCACAAATCCTTTTCTTCCTTTTGATGTTTTATATTTATATTTATAATATTTATAAAGATTATAAAGGTTTAATAATTTAAAATATTAGCAATAAATTTTAAATTTAGCCAAAGACTACATATGTATAAATGAAATATAAAAAAATGATTGAATAGAAGAACTCTAAAAAATTTAATCATATTAGATATGTCAATATTAATTGTATGGATGATATTTGTTTTAATTTTTTTAATTTTAACCCGTGCAACATACCAAAAACTGTCTAGTTGTTATGAATTAAGCCAATAAATGTGAGGATTAGCTTGTTAGAGTTGATATTTTATATTTTATTGATCCCTTTAATTCTGTTTATAAAGTAAAATTAATCAACTTTACAGTAGTTAAGAAAAGGTAACTACCATCCTCAAATTTATTTAAAATGTCTGTCTCTCAATTTTGCCTTTAACTAAAATTAATAATCACAATAAAATTTATCAAAAAAGTATAACTTGGTGTAATTAAAAAGAGGCTGTATTGGAGAAAAATTAACTATTACATATTTTATATTTAAAATCAAATAGGACTTTTAAACTTTTCTATATAATTAAGACCCCAGAGTAGATGAACAGAACTATTGGCCTTACTTACAGCCTTCTGTTTTATTTTTTTTTTAATAGCTATAATATGAAACAATCACAATATATAAGAAAGTTGTCCATTTGAAGAAAAAAAATTCTTGCGAAAAAAAAAAACAGGGAATACAAGAAGAAAGTGCGTTATTTATTTTAAATTCAAAAAGGATAAAATATAAACAATAAATAAAATAAAACATAAACAAACCTCCAACATTAAAATGAATACAACACATAGAACAACCATATTATTACTCACAAAATATATTACATTAATATTACACACATAATCAAATCTTAGACAGGAGAGGGTTTCTCAATTTCTTCACTCTCCTTTTCCCTTCACTTTCTAATCATGACCATTAATATCATTTTATTAAATGAATTTGTTTTAATCATAGATTTAATGAATGATCATGTTTGAAAAATAAAAAGAGAATGAGAGTGAAAAAAATGGAGAGACTCATGCTCATCATTGACTCATCTAAGATCAAGAGGCTTGTCATGGTGATGATGATGATGATGTTGAGGAGGCATCATTTGGATGCCATGGACTTGCGTTGTAGGGTACGATGGCCCAGCTTCAACGTCCCAACGGTCATATTGGAGGCCACGTGGCGTTGGAGAAGTTGGGGCACTGACACTGTCACTTCGGCCAGGGTTCTTGTGGAGAAGATGAACTGGGGACATCCCATGGACAGGGCTTGTAGCTGCGCTTGATAAGGGCGTGTTTGCCTTTGAATGCTTGCTGTCTTTAACGTTTTTCCTGGCTGTTTGGTGCCACTTCTTCAGTGCTGTTGCTACTGTCTTGTTGAATACTGTCGGTTTCATGCTCGATCCCATCTGTATTATTCCACCAACCAAACACATCACATATAATTCCCCAAACTGAACTTGTCTGGATGTAATCGAGTGTGTTATTGAAAAGGATTTTTTTTTTCTTTTTTTTTTTTCAAGGAAACACCCCTAATGCCCCAAATCTCAGCCTTCAAGGAAAGTAGATAAAAATTTCTCTTATCATTAGCTGAGACGCTGAGATTTGGACACTAAATGGCTGATAAGATCGTACTAATAAAAAAAATAATATATCATATATTGATAATACAATTAAGATTATAATATTGATTAATAATTAATATGTAAGAAAAAAGATTAATAGATTCCTTATAGAAATATCTTTTTATGAGGCCTAAAAGTCTAAAACCGTTGTTTTAATGGCCTATTAGTAGACATGACCATGCTAAAAGGTCAAGTTGATTGACAACTTAAATATGGCAATTAACAACTAATATGATTTGTTTCATTTTTATTTTAAATCAAGTTGGCATTTTAAACATGATTAATAATTGAAAACACATGTATACGGCTTAGTAGATCATATTACCTGTGTAACGAGAGCATAAAGAGGCAGAGTCACATAGCTGCATAGAACTTGTATGAGAATCCTGGAAACCAAAAAATTAGAACAAGAAGCTTATTAATTAATTAATTAATTATCACAAAGCTAGTTAGATTAATTAATTGTTCTTTATAGATTTTGCAGAGGAAATTAATGTACTTTACCCCGTTGTAATTTTAATCGCGATGTCTGGATCGGTTCTATGGAAGCACGACCTTAAGCCGAACACAAGCTGAAACATAATGAAAGGCAAACCCAAATTCATGAGAAGCCCCATAATTAATATTGCATCAGGGCCAAAAAATATAGTTAGTATTGTACTCTGTATTTAAAATGTTTGTTTTTAATTAAATCAAAATATATGAATCTTTTATATATTATGTACTCCATAATAAACTGTCATTTATTATTATTATTATTATTATTATTATTATTATTATTATATCAAAATCAATTTATATTGATTTAATTAGACAAAAGCATATTATACAAGATTAAGTGCCTAATCATTTTCTCATTGCGTTTATGTGATATTGTAAAGGTTTTGTTTTGATTATTATTTTATCATAGTCATAGTTACCTTCCTGCAATTAGAATTTCATAAACTCATGATTTGTGAGTTCTAAATATATATGCATGTACAGATCAAAATTAATTGGGAGAATTGCACTTAAACCCCAACAATACAATAAAATATTACAAAGTCTATTGACAATATTATCATTTTGCTGAATGAAAATAATTTTTTAAGTTTTAAAACATAAATTGACATGTATATATAGCTAAATGACAATAAATTAACCCTAAAATTAATTTAATGTTTGTTAATGAATGTTTTTTTATTCCCTTGTTTTTAAAATTTTGAAATCTTTTTTCTTACCTAAATAATTATACTTCTCTTTGTTAACCTACATTGTTATCATCAATATTTTGTTATTTATGTAAAAAAAGTTAACATTATTATCTTCTTTTTAAATAATAAGAATTAAATTGACAATTAAAATAAATTCAAGAAGATAAATTAATAAAAATTTGAAGAATAAAAGTTACTTTCTCTCTTCTATCAAACTAATTGCAATTTACAAGATACACGAATACACACGCGCGCCCAAACATGCTTTGTTACTAGTCGGCCCAACATCAAGACTTGTATTATAAAGTTGACGTTAATAGAGCTAGAGATCCCACGATGTTGATTTAGTTAAAATTTAGTATTTATAATTTTGGCTCAATTAACCCTTATAGTTTTATTAACTGTTGGAATAAAATTCACATCAAAGGGCCACACATGTAAATATTAAAAATGTGTAGCCATTATTATAATTTAACCTAATGAAGTATTATACTTGAAAAAGTTTTCAGGTTTAAAGGGTGTGACTGTTATGAAATTAAAGTGTAGAGACTGCAGTGATATTTATAATTTATTGAAGGACTAAATTACATATATCACAAACTTAAATCTATAAATAGAGGTCATAGTCCCAAAGTTGAGCATAAAAAAAAAAGGTTTTTTGGCCCTCCCTTCTAGAGAACTATAAGAAAGTTTTCAATATTTATGATATGAAAAATTACGGTATTTTTGATTCATAATATATGGAATCTAGTGACATTTGCTACTACGGATTTAACTATTCAGGTACACTTCTACATTCAGTTCTATTCATCTGAATTGATATGAGTTTATATTTAGGTTTATGAATGGTTGCAATCATTTCCGTGATTTGAATAATGAGTACGAATTTGATTGATCTCAAACAACCAATTCCAACATTAACCATTTAAATATTGGTTGTTAACATTTAAAAAAATAACTTTTATTCTTGTGTTTTATTATTTTCATTATTATTATTATTATTATTATTATTATTATTATTTTAAAATGTAGATACTAGCATTTGAAGTAGTTAAAACTATAATAATAGAGTTACATTAAATCAAAGTTAAAAAAAAATTATTGAGTTAGAACTATGGGGATCCAGTTGCACCAAATTAAAATTTGAGAACTAAATTTTAATTGAGTTAAAATTATAAAATTAGATTATTAATTTTTTAGTAAAGATAAATAGAAAGGGCCGTGTCTTCATTGTCATGCTGCTAGTTTCCGCCTAGTAATGAGCACTCAACTTGACAATTACTATTATAGTCATGGTCGTGTGTACATTTTGTTTTTTTGGGTAGTGATTTTTGGGCAACCCAACATCGTGCCTTGGCAAAGCCCAATGAAAAGTCGAAGTCATTATAATATTATCCCAAAAAAAATGTAGAGAAAATTAATCAATAAATTCTTATAGTTTTTTATTTTAAATCAAATTTTTATAACTTATTTATGTTTTAATCAAGTTTGATTTATTAGATATATTAATTTTTAAAGTATAAGACTAAAAAAAATATAACTTTTGATCTTTACACTTTACTTGCATTTTTTATTGATCCCTGTATTTTTTTTTGGTGTTCTAAATTTTTACGCTTTTATTTTTTATTATTTTATGTCCCTCTATGAAAAAAATATAAGACCTTAGAGGAATTCAAAACATAAAAAATAAAATTGTAGGAATCTAAAAGATCAAAGAAAAGTACATAGATTAAAAGCAAAACGGGAGCAAAATGCAAAGACTTAAAACTATGTTTTTCCTTAAAATTATTAATAAATGAGTAATTTTCAAAAAACAAAAACACTTTTAAATTTTATAAAATTTTATTTAATATTTTGAGAAAAAGAAAAAAAGATTTAAAACAATATTTGCATATTTATTAATATTTTATGAAACTTCTATATGTACAAAAATTATTTAAAATACATAACTTAATTATATAAATTTAGATATATAAAAATTATGTAATTAATTTAAGGTTATTTAAATTTTTAATAAAAATTAAATTTGTCTAATAATATATAATAATAATTTTTTTTTTACCAGCTATATAATAATGCTTGATCAAGATGAGATACTTACAGCTGACCAAACGAAAAATGCGAGCTGAAATGCATTCTACACCAGAAAAACAAAATACAACAACACAGAGAATTTAGATAAAGTAAGAGTCTTAAATTTTAAGAAATTAGTTTTTAAACGAATATATTATATATAGTGATCGGACCTGAAAGAGGACAAAATGAATCAAGTTGAGAAGAAAGCGAGGTCGGTTGAACCAGAAGAGATTATCACCAGGCTCCACCACTGGTGCTCCTTTCAATACTGCCCCTCTTTCTTGGATCCTCAGTCCCATCTTTGATATTATCATTTGTAGCTTTGCTCCCACCAATAATATTATCTACATTTTTTAAAAAAATATATCTAAATATATAAATATCCACATCATAATTACAACAATACATCCTATACTTTGATTAAGTTTAGTTTTTAAACCCCATATTTTTATTTCATTGGTCTCAATCCTTTTAATGTGATTGATAACAATACATGTTATATTTTGATTACCTTTAGTTTTTAGTTCCCATATTTTTATTTTATTGTTCCTAATTCTTTTAGCGTGATCTGTCAACAGCATTAGTTTTTATAATCTTAAAAATGCACATAAAGATTATGACATGACACTGACAAGGTTGATTTCTTACTTGTACTTAATTATGTTAATCCTTTTCCTAACATAAAAAAATATTCTGGTATGAAAATAAATTGATCAGGTAAAGGCAAAAAATTCTTTAATACTCCCTCCGGTCTACAATATAAGGCATTAGTAACTATTCACAATTTTAAAAAATGTTAGTTAAAACTTTAATTTCTTAAAAAAATTTACATTTTTTAATTTTATCTTCATTAAATACCTTATAGAAGTTTTCTGATAATGATAATTAAAATTTCAATACATTATTTAAAAAAGTAATAAATGAAGTAAAGATATAGTTAAAAAATAAGTATATAAAAGTTACTCAATATCTTATATTTTAAATTAAATAAGGCTTCTAGATAATATTCTATATTGTAGTTTGGAGGGAGTATATATATTAGTTTAAACAGAATATGGGAAACAAAAGCAAATGTCCTTGTCTTTGTCTGTAAGTCTTAATATCATTGGAAGACAAAGGGGTTAACAAAGTTAAGTACACTTCAGCAAAATTAAGTCCATCAATGGCTCAATGCCAAGTCATGATTCTTATGTCCATTTTTAAAATTAGAGAGACTAACATCATAGGTAGATCGTATTGAAAGATTGAGGATAGTGAAATAACATTATAGAGGCTAAAAACAAAATGCAATCAAAATATAGAGTCTATTATTGTATTTTTCCTAATTTGATTATTCCAAATACAAGAGAAATTAATTAGCACGTGCTTACAATTAATGGGATGAATGGAAGCCAAAACTGAGAGTTCCATCCTGTCCAACAAGTTAAATCAAAGCCATTGTGAGATTATACACCGTGCGTATCATCCATAATAAAGGCTTGTTTGGTTGGAAGGAAATGAGAGGGAGGTAGAGGTTCTGATGAATTCAATTTAAAATTAAAAATAGAACGAAGTTTGTTAAAATAGTTTAATTAATTTTTCTCACTCTTTTAATTTAATTAAGTATATCTGCTATTTATTGAAATCTTATAATCTTATTTATTCATTTTTTTAAAATGGAATTCATTAAAATCTCTCATGCCATCACCTTCCCTCCATACCACTCCAACCAACAAGGGGGGTAAGAATCGTTAAATTAGTATTGAAATTAAGTCCATAAAAAATGGTTACCATGAGTATTGGTCAAGAATAATAAGACGGCAAGGAACCATATGATTGGGCTACGAACATGATCAAAAGCTTAAGTAAGGATTTGTGACTAAATTAATGAAAAGATTACTATGCAAATTAAAGAAGCACTGGGATGATGTTTGTTTCGTGTTACCTTATTCCCACGACAACCTTGAAATCCTCATCAAGTGATCTTTGGATGTATTTTTGGAAATCAAAGCTTGCTTCGCTTCCCGGAGGTAAATGAGCCTAAAGCATAATTACACAGTTTGATTAGTCTTAATCAAGGTTTTAAGTTCACAGATTAACTTGCTTGATTAGCACATGCTGAAGGGTCACCATGATAAATCCACGCCTCAGTGTCAAATAGTCTGCCCTGGAAACTGATCCAAAGAATTGCCTGAACAAGCTTGCCTGATGCAATAACCACAACCCAGTGACTTGGTTAATTAAGTTCCAAATCAATTAAATCAATGGTTTAGACTAATTCATACTCCCTCTATTTAATATAATAAAGCTTTTTTTAATATTTATATTAAAAATATGAGGCATTTTGAGTCTTTCAATATATAATTGATATTTTTTTTTCAAAATATTGCTAATTATGGGCTGTAATGAGATTTTTAAATTGAGATACCCTATTAAATAAAGATAAATATGAAAGGAATATATCATTTTAAAGATAATTAATTAGTTCATTAGAGGATATAAGTTAATTAAAAGTGCCTTATAATATTGAATAGGAAGAGAAAATTAGTATTTGAATTTCATAAATTAATTAATCAGTTATGACAATATAATGGGAGTTAAAGTTCAGTTTAAAAAAAAGTAGATATTTAGGCCTCAAAAGTAATTAGTTCTTGGCTGTTAGTTGAGAGATATTACCATATATTAATAGTGGCACAAAAAGAAGAAAAAAGAAAAAAAAACAATTAGCTTCCCAACATAATTTTTTTTAAAAAAACTGGATTGTAAAGATTGTTCCCAAATTACAAAGTCTTTGAATTTATTATCATCTAAGCCAATATTTTTAGTTTATTTTTAAAAAAATTGTCTTAATAACCTAACCATCATCAATGTGAAAATATAACTTTAAATTTCTATACCTCACTTACATTTTATTATTAATTTCTATATTTTTTTCATATTTTTTATTTTTTACTTTTATTTTTTATTATTTTAAGTCCTTCAATAAACAAAATATAAAAATTTTAGAGGATTTAAAAAATAAAAATAAAAGTACAGAAATTAAAAATATTAAAAAAATATAAAAATTAATAATAAAATACGAGTAAAATATAAAAATTTAAAATTATATTTTTTATTATTAATTTATTATTATGGGACTTGATCACAATTCAAAAAAAAAACTCTAATTTTGACTTCCTTAGTTTTAAATATTGCTCGAATGGTTGTAAAAAGATGAAATTGAAAAAGAAGGACTTGATGACTTTCTAATTTTGACTTACAATCCATAGGGAAATTGATGATTGACTCCATATGTTCAAATGCTTTCGTCCGAATGTCGTGTCCCTTGTAAACCGGAACCTCTCTGGATCTGCAATTTAATATTCCATTTAAGTCTAACTCACTCTCACATCTACTATCATCCAATTAAAAAAAAAAAAAACCATTTATGGTCCGCAGTCCCCGGTCAAACATGCCGGCCGGTCTCTCTTTTATTTTACTTTATTTAAAAAAAAATAAACTTTCACTTTCATCTTTAAATATTATTAAATGCATGACTTATTATTTAAACGTACGTCACATTACATACTTCTTCTATTTTAAATTATAAAATATTTTTAAATAAAATTTTATATATTAATAAAATTTATTAAACATATTTTATAACCTTACGTTTTTAAGATAAAAATATAAATTTTTAAAAATATATTTCATTTAGTACTTGATTGGTGAAAAAATATTGAAGGAAGAGAATATATGAAAAGGATAATATTAAAAAATTATAATTAATAAAAAAATTTTATCAATGTGTCTTATATTTTAAACGTTAAATTTTTAAAAAAATATCTTATAATTTGAGATGGAAGATATATCAATTATTTTATTAACTTCATCATCTTAAAAAAAAAAAAGTGTAATATACAAACTACTGAAAACCGAGTTAATTTGGCTAACAGAATTGTAAACCATTGAACCATTATTTTGAGTGTTCAATGAAATGTTTCGACCAATTTGATATTTAGTGTCTTGATAATGTATAATAACTTTTCCTTCAAACAAATATGTGTGTGTGCAATTCTCAATTGAGGGGAAAAATCATAATATTTACATATATGCTCTGAATCATATGTATGTATGTATGTATAGCCTTGGGAAATTGGAGTCTTACCATTGTAGAATTGATATTCTAATGTCTTTGTCTCACTTTCCCACTTCTTCCATTTTCTCATCTGCAACCATATGATATGAGTCAGCAAAGATTTGGAGATAGAATATTCCCCCTCCAGAGAGAGAGAGAGAGAGAGAGAGAGATTTGGGGATAGAAATGGAAAGAAATTATTGTTCGAAGTGAGAGAAAGCAAATGAATAATGAATTCTAAAATAGGAAGAAAAGAGGGAATTAAAAAAGAAGAAGAAGAAGAAGACGACCTTGGTCCTTCCCAAAACTAACGTCATAGTGCACTGCAGAATATGAAACACTGCCAGCACAAACATAAATACATGCAGCTGATGAATCCCATAAGCAGACACAAACGCCACTTTACCCTGCACGTGTATAATTGTATATAAATTAGATAATTAACTGAATTACTACTTAATATATGTACCTTTAAAACTTGAAAATAAAACAAAAATCCCCCATCTTTCTGTACTATTTAATTATAGTAGTCTATCTGTCCCAATTTATAAGGTTTTTTGTGACAAGATTACACATATTAATGAAATTCATTTTGTAAATTATAGTTTTTTTTTTATAAACTTTCAATCACCCATCATTAGTATGAGAAAGTGGGGGGAAGAAAGTCATTCAAGGAATAAAATAGTGAGGGCTAATATTTTAACAATCATAATTAATGAAATCTTATTTTTTTTCAAAACATATTATATTTTGAGACACTAAAATAAATCTACAAAAATAATTTATAAGATGGGACAAAGGGAATAATATGAAAAGTATTTAAAATATCAACCCCCCCTCAAAATAAAATAGCTAGGGATGATGTACCTTTATCCTTTCAAAAAATTATACTCTTCTTGTTAAAAAATATAAAATATTTTTAACCAAATCTCATCTCTTAATAAAGCAATTACTTACTTTTTAATTAACCCTATTTTTTTATATTTATCCCTATTAAACACCCTACAATAAATATAAAGTCATTATTAATAGGGGCACTTTTGAAAAAAAGATAATGATTACATCTCAAAAGATTTAAAAATACCTTACATTTTTAAACATTCAATTACTTAAAAAATGTCTTATATTTTTGAATAGAGGGGGTGCATCTTTTTAATTATAATCTCATTAAATATTTTATATATAAGTTTATTAATAATGATTATTGAAATTTAAATTAATCATTTTTAAGAGAAATAATATATGAAGTAGAGATATAATTAAAAATTATAAAAACTATTTAATACCTTATATTTTAAACTTAGCATAATTTCTAGAAATATCATATATCATAGATAGGAGCTATACAAATGAAAAAGGAAAATCTTTTAAAAGATTATGCGTTTAATAAGGATGAATTTTAAATAAAAATTTTATTTTAAACAATATTAATAATTTAATTTTCTTTGTTGATTTGGATAAGCTAACTAGAAAATAGAGACGCGTAGAATGAGATGAGACTTGCCTCTCCACATATGTCGTATCCCTTAGCGGCTAGGAAACGGCGTGAAGAATATTCGAGCAGCTTCCTAGAATTGGGGCCGGCTTCTTTTGCCTTGCCCTTGTACTGTGAAGACGCGCAGGGTCGCCACGTGGATGCCACTTCCCTTGATATGCACGTCGTCGATATTGGATTTTGCAGCATCGTCAACAAAAACGATAGGAATCCCATCAACATCAGCTCTACAGTATATATATCACATTTTACGCCACAATTAATTAATCTCATCCAAATTAAACTAATCGTAAAATATTAATCCGGCCTTGATGCTTCCTCCGGCCTAAATTATAAAATAATTTAAAATAATATTATGCATATTAATAAAATTTAATAATTATATTTTAAAATAAAATTATAAATTTTTAAAAATATCCTTGTACACTTAATTATTACTCCTCCAATCCTAGTTATAAAGAAAAAAAATATATTAATTTTAATTCTATTTATAAGGCATCTTAATGATATATTCATCTTTACCATTTTACCTCCATTAAACGTTGAAAAGCTTGTTAAATGCTAGAATATTTTATTTTAAAATAGATATATTTAATGGGGGTAAAGAGTCAACTTGTTGAATTTTAGACGAAATTAATGAGATTTAAAATTTTTCTTGGTTCAAATGAAAATGCTGAAAGTAACTTGTCAATAAAATCATAATGAGTACATTAAAATATCATTTTAATTATTTCTTCACTTGAATGATAATATTAAAAGTATATCAGTAATAAAATTTTATTCTTCTGAAATTAACATATATGTTGGGATAATGAAATATTTTCAAAATTATCTTACATTTTGATACACAAGGTGTATAAGATAAAGTAAACAACATGCTTATTAAAGAATGTTAGATTTAATCTTAAGATTGTAAACACTTTTCAATTTTACTTTTTATTATAATTAATAACTATAATAAATTGTTGTTTATGAATCCAAGGAGTAACTGATAAACAGTGGGTAAAATTAAAAAAATCATCAATTACTTTAATTCAAGGAGTATTAAGCAACAAGCACTCCCTACATTTTTTTATTATTAAAGAAATTGTCACTTTTAATTTTTATAAGCAAAATTGCTCATTTCAATAAATATTTATTATATATTTATTAAATTATTTTTCATAATTTACATTAATAAAAAATAATTAATGCATAACTATATTGATTAATGTATGATATTTTATTTATTTTTAGACATAATTATTATAATTAACTGATTTTTAAAATTATATGATATAATTTTTTTATATATATTAAAACGGATGGAGTGCAATTTATCATTAAGAGTCACATTAATGGATTTCCAACAAGAAACTGACCGATTCAGTTCAGTCAACACGCGGATAAGACTAATTCATAAATCACAGTCTTGCGCGGTTGAAATAAAAATGTGTATGAATAGTCAATTGCTCTCCCGCTTCATAGTACACTACAACAATTTTTATTTTAGGCTAACAATTTTATTTACAACAATTTTAAAAGTATTACCTAATATGAACATTAACAACATTTTACATATATTGTTATTATTCTCATACTTTAAGTAACATAGTTTTGACAATATTTAAAAACTGTTTCTTAAAATAGAATACATAACAGTTTTCAAGTGTTACAATAATTTTTTTGAATAGCCAATACAAAAATTGTTGCCAATAAAGGATCTTTTATGGCAACATTTTAAAAATATTTCCTATTCAAATAGGCAACAAAAATGTAAATGTTGCCTATAGTTTCTCTTTATGGCAACATTTTAAAACTGTTGCTTGTTATTTTTTTAAACATAAACAATTATTTTTAATTTATTTTCATAATTTTTTTGAATAATTTATTTATTTATTCTCTTAATTTTTCAATTCATTATTTGGATAAATTTAAAAATTAATTTAACAAGTATATATATATATTATATTTTACATTATAATATCAAAAAGTCAAGTTAGAAGAGTGGTTTAAGACATCTATTCCTTTCAATAGGTTCTGGGTTTGAATCTTGAGAGAAGAAGAAAATATTAAATTTTGACTATTTAACTATTTCACAATAATTCTTAAATGTTGCCTATTTTATGTGACAAGCAATATTTGAAAAGTGTTGCAATAGGTCTCCCAAAAATTATTGCTTATTCTCATAGTTTTAGGCAACAGTTTTACAAATACTGTGGCCAAAAGTAAGAAAACTGTTGCCTAAAGTAATAGGCAACACTCAAGTTGGAAACACTTGAAAACTGTTGCCTATAACTTTAGGCAATATTTTTCAAACCTATAACAACACTTTTGAATTGTTCTTAGATAACAAAAATGTTGTAGTAGTACGTGCCCTTTTCTCTAACAAGATTTGTTTCCCATGCGTTGCATGGGAGATTTTAATATTTTAAAAATTAAAATAAAAAAAATTATTTTTATACTCAAAATAATATATTTTATTAGTTTACATAAATTAAAACTTAAATTATAATTTATTTTGCATTAAAAATTGTTTTGTCTAGATATATTAAAGATAAAAAATAATTATTCATTTTATTTTAAAGAGTGTTATTTTTGGGATACATTTGTTTTTTTTACTAATATGTGGGAAAATTTTGAATCAAATTGAAAAAAATATACTTTTTATTAAGTCCCTACCATAATTAGTTAAAGAATTTTTTTTTCAAGAAATATTCGTTGATTTATTATTGGTTGTCTCGTGTAAAAATTTAAGCAACCATTTTTAATTTGCAATACGCTATCCTTATCATAAGAGTAACTTTTTAATATACATTAAAACATTATGTACATTAAAAAATATAAATAGTATTTTTTTAAAATTTCTCACCTAATACAAATTAAAATATAATTAACTTATTTTCTTTCATAATTTGTTGGCCTATGCATCATCCAAAGAAAAATAAACTATATACTATAATAAATTCTACACTACAATTATGTCATAATAATATTTATAAATTACAATTATAGTCAAAAGTATAAATAAATAAAAAATTTGTATATGTTAAATAATGATTTTAAATTAAATAAATAACATGTCCAATGTTACAGTACTCTCTTGGTCTCTCCTGTCCCATAAATAAACTACTTTTAATTAATTACTCCGTCCTTATATAAATATATATATATTTATATCAAATTTTTTATAAATTTATTTTGTCTTTAAATATAAAGGGTGCAATGATAATTTTAAGTAATTAAATAATTTTCCTCTCATTATCTTGGGAAGGGGGAAGGGATATTAATTTTGAGTTTTACCCACCTTCATGATATTAGTTGTGATATTAATAAGGGTAAAAATGAAAAAATTTTATGATTTTATATGTCTTTAAGTAAATACAAAACTTTTATTAATACGCATGATTTAATTAAAAGCATTTCATATACAAAGATGGAAGGAGTATCTCATTATAATGAAGGTGACATAGTTAAATAATTAGTTGTGTCTGGAAAAGAAAAATTCAAGATACGTTTATTAAATGTATTATATTTAAAAGATAATTTTCCTTTTATATATAACTTTTCCTTCTATTTCTAAAAAAATATTAAACGGTAAAATTAAAAAATAATAATTAATGATCCATTTTTCATGCAAAAAACCTTATCAAATAGACCATTAATTACATATAAAATGTGATTCATGTATAGGCTTGATGATAGTATTATTTATTAATTATATGCATTGCATGACAAGAAAAAACATTAAGAAAGATTTAAGAGGTGAACATGAAAAGTAAGTTTTGTTTTAAAAGTTATTATTTTATGCTCCTAAAGAAGTACCTTCAATTACCAACTAAATTAGTTTGAGTGGAAGACTTGAAATATTGAAATGCATGCAAGAAGATGACATTTTATTTTAACGTCTAACATTTCAAATAATATCTAATATTTTTTAAGGAGAGGTTAATTTTTTCTCCTTTTCAAATTTTACTCTAATGTATAATTAAATATCATGAATTATGAATAATTAAATATAGTTTTTTACTTTTAGCAAGGGCAGTTTCAAAAACTATTACAACTTCTTCCATCTTTCTTGATCTGTGTGCAAGTAGGTAATCTTCCTCAAAAGTCAAAAGAGAACTAACTTCACGGTTTTAAAGAATGATAATTAATATTTTTAAACTTGTAAAAGACATTTAAATTTTTAATTTTGGTTTCCACTAAAATTAATAATTACGATAAAATGTGTCTGAAAATTTAAAATTTTCTATGAATTTAATGCAACTAATGAAGAATAGTATTAAAAAAATAATTAACTATTATTTTTTATTTTAAATTATAAAATATTTTTAAATAAAATTAAATATATTAATAAAACTCATTAAATACATTTTATGATTTTATTTTTTTAAAATTTTATTTTTAGTGTTTATTCTTACAATTTTATAAATTGAAAATGGTCTTTAAAATTTTATTCTTACATACCAAATAAAATTAAATATATCAATAAAATTTATTAAATATATTTTGCAATTTTATTTTTTAAAAAAATATAAAATTTTAAAAATATTTTTTATTTAATACTCTATTATTAAAAAGAATGAATATAACGTGAATGATAATATTAAAAAAATAATTACTAAAACTTTATCTTTATCAAATTAAAATGTCTTATATTTTAAAATATTGAATTCTTAAAATATATTTTATAATTTTAGATAAAGTATCTATAAAGCTTTAAAATTTATCCCACACTTAAGAGTTAAGACGGGAGAAGGTAGAAAAATTATGATCACAATCTACCACTTACAAAATCTAAAATCTAAACGCAAATTAAATAGGAGGTAATAAAGAGGGGAATTAAAGCAAGGTTTGGGGTTGATAGTACCTCCTTTGACCTTTTGAAGGGCTTCATAGAGAGCAATCTTATTCTTCTTCTTGAACCACTGAAATTCCAAAGTTGCAGAATCATCAACTATATTTATAACTGTGGAATATAATCCGAGAGAGATCATATACTATAAGCTAATGAATATGAATTAAGAACTTACTTTTCCAATAGCGTGAATGATATGTTCGATGAAGATTGAAATCGCCAGCAACACAAAGCACACCACCGCCACAGCCCACGTCGCTGTTTCCTGCAACGTTCTTTCAGGTTCTTCTTTATCTCCGGCGGCCATTTCTGAGATACTACGATCTCTGATCTTTGCTCTCACAGATTCTTCTTACTTATCAGAAACTACGAATATGCAGAGAGATAAAGGCATAACCAATTAAAGATGATGATGCTAAGTAATGAAGAACGAGGGCGGTGAACCCAAAGTTGTTCTATAATAGAATCATCGTTGTTAACAAATATATAGTAAACTATTTTAGGCCGGCATGTAGTGTAGAAACAACAAGCAAGAGAGGCTTGGTCATTACTGTCTGTATCTCTCCCGACACCTAAAAATAAATATCCAACGAGAGAGAACAATAAGCATGACCCCAACAAAGAGTTTGACAAATTCCACACAATAATAAATGGTCCGTCGTCGATCGTCGTTTGATTAAGAGCACTAACTAATGCAGACTGATGAGTGTCGCGTGATCTCTTTCCTGACGAGGTCACGTACTGATCAGGTCAAGTATTGATAAGGTCTTACTTGTTACTCCATCCGTTTCTATATATATATATATATATATATAAAACTGTATTATATAATTTAAGAATGTTAATTAATCATAATAATTTTTTTAAAAATAAAAAAAATTAAATTAAAATGGCCTATGTTAATCAACATAAATATATATTATTTATTTTTTATTAATGTAAATTATGAAGGACAATTTCAAAAATATACAATAAATGCTTATTAAAATATGTAATTTTATTCATATAAAAATAAGTAAAAAGTAATAATTTTTTTTATAAATAGAAACGGAGGGAGTATTTATTTTTAACATATTTTATTGAATAAAAAAATCTTAAAATATATTAAATAAGCTTTCCTCTTTACCCTTAATAAGGATAAAAAAATTATTTTTTATAATCTTTTTTAGCAATTAACAAAAGCAAAAAAGTGAAGATAAATTTAAAAAATAGTGAAGTACTCTATGAATACAATAATGAAAGGTAATTCGTTATCTCCTATTTCTATTATTGAACACTTTTTAGAAAAATTATTTGATTTTTAATATAAGTCAATTTTTAAGAATTTGTTTAGCATTACTTTTTTCATTTCCAAACATGTCATCCTTCTCAATTTTCAATAAGGAGATAAAAATGTTAAAAAAATTTATTATATTTATTAGATGTGAAAATGGAAACGCAATTTTTAAACGGTTTCAATAATATAACTAATTTTTTCTTGAATCTTGTTAATTTCAATAATCAGTACCGAAATTCCACACAAAGGGTTCTGCTTAAGCAGCGAATGGCTACTCGCATACTAGTTGGGAGGTTTGTGCCTTGCCTTATGTATCCGAAGAGAAATTAATCTTTGCTATAAGCAGACATTTCTAAATCCCACCAAAAAATACTTTGACCATACGATAATGCTTATTTTAAATAATTTACTTATAACTAAAACCCCATCTTATTATTTCTAATTTTCCTCTGTTTTTGAAAGTAAGCATAGAATATTTCATAATTAAGACTGTGTAACATAGATATTGCCACACCGACCCTAAATGTTTCCGAAGCTTCAAGAGGACAAATAGTCCGAGACAAAACATGAAGATGTTCGAAGTTACACTGTAACTATTGATTAATATAGAAGCTCTTAAATGAGTTCTTCTGACTGTTTCAACTATATATATATATATATATATAAAATACTTTTCTATTTCTTTTTTAATTAATTATCTCATGATCTCTTTCGTCCTGCGATACGACAAATGCAAATATCTCCACTAGCTAGACCGGAGGTCTTCTTCCTAATCTTCTAATTATTTATTTACACTGTTTGGGTCAATGAAAAGCTCAGATAGCAACACAGAGAGATAAAGGGTTTGTTAATGTAGCTCCTTCAAGAAATAAAATTGATGCGTGTATTAAAAATAAAAAAAATATTTAACCAATCCTTATACTTTTAATTTAATTGTAATTCAATACTTATAGTAACTAATGTTTTAATGGCTAAATTTATAGGGACCATACAATAAAGTTGTGTCAAGTTAAAATTCAGTGATTAAGTTACGATCAAATTAAAATTATAAAAATTGAGTTATATCGTGTTGAAGATTAAAATTGAATTATAATTGAATCAAAATTTTAGAGACTAAATGATTTTTCTTAAAAAAATGTGATAATGTAGTTGATCGGTTGATGAAAGTATGGATTACGCAATTTGTTCATATATAGTTAATGAATCTAAAGTATATGTACTTTTAAACTTTTTTTTGTTTTACCCTTTCATTTCCTCGTGCCAAAAAACAAAAGTTGTACAAAATCATAACGCATCAATTTGTTTTTAAAAAAAGGAGTAAAAATGAAAGTAACAGGCTATAACAGCCCATTCTTGGAGCATACATCATATTTGTTTGGCTTTGATGATTATATATGTGTGAGCGTGTGTGTGAGTGCACGAAACCCAGTAATAATGAAGTCATCTAATAAGATCCATGATGCTGATGATGAAATTGATCTTTAGCCCTGTGAGAGTTCTTGAACGAGAATTCAGTACTATGCTGAATCTCATGTTGGGTCCTTATAGGATCAGGCACAGCTGGAGGCAATTCCGTGGAGGTAGGAATCATCTGGATCTCACGTCCATCCACTGTATGGTAGGGTGCACCTTCTTCGACGTCCCAACGTTGTTCATGGTCGTAGTTGGAGGGTAAGAATCCTGTAGGAGACGTAGGGACAGCGTCACTGTGTCCTCCCGTGTGCTTGTGAAGAAGATGAACTGGTGACATCCTGTGGGTGGGCGTGGCCGGGGCACTTGATAAGGGCGTGTTTGTTTCCGAGTTCTTGTTGTAGTCTTTCACCTGTCTTCTTGCTGAGTGGTACCAGCTCTTCAGTGCTGCTGCTACTCTCCCGTTGAAGATTGTGGGTTTCATCGTTGATCCCATCTGCATGTCATTCCCACCAGCCAAACACGCCATAAAAAGGACGAGGTTTAATTGGCAATGTGCCAGTGTTTTTTTTTTTAATAATCCCAAGTATTTGGCCAAAAAAAAAGTCTTGTATATTTAATGCAATCAAATCAAAACAAGTAAATTTTAATATAATTTTAATAATTAATAATAAAAATTTATTATAGAATGAATAATATTTAAACAATTCACATGTATCATGATTTAATTAAAAATAAGTAGCTTAAATATATAAGGTTAAATATATAAATTTTTTTCCTTTTATAATTCACTCAATGAATCTAACTAAAGAAAATTATGGAGCAAATGTAAGTATGTAACACAATGTTAAAACTGGTGCATTAATGTTGCTTTTTTCAAAATATGTATATCGTTAATTCAGAATGAGAGATTATTTTTTACACAACATTAACGGTTGTAAAAAAGAAACATCATATTGTACTAGCTTTTTAAAAAAAAACTCATTATTTAATCCTTACAGTTTAAATTAACTCATTAAAATTTACTTGAACTTTGATTCGGTGCCCACACAATTCCTATTATTTTGACTTGATTAAAATTCAGTATTTACAATTTCAATTATTTAAAATATCAGTCCCAATATTTTAGAAAATAAAATTACAAAATGATTAATTTTTTTTGAAACTTGGGAACTAATATTTTAAATTGATAAAATTATAGGGAGTAAGTTATATATTGAGTTAAAGTTTTAAAAAAAAAGTTCCAACTGAGTTAAAATAATAGAAATTAAAGTGAATTGCACCAAGTCAAAGTTCAAAGACTATATTTTAAATAAGTCAAACCTATAAAGATTAAATGATTAATTTATATTAAATAAAAACTTATGTGCCGCATTGCTTCATAATCAGAGATATATGCATATAAGCAGGCTATCTTACTTGGGTGACGAGAGCATAAAGAGGCAAAGTCACGTAGCTGCAAAGAACTTGTATGATGACCCTGCAATTAAAACAAACAAGAACACGTAACTGATGAGATCAAATGGATGTGCTGCTAAATAGATTTTGTGAGAAGAAGAAAAATAAGGTTTTACGGACCCTGTTGCAAGCCTAATCACAATATTTTGAATTTCTCTGTGGAAGCAAGACCTTATGCCGAATGCATACTGAAACAGATTGCATGGAAATTTAAGTCAGATAAGATACATAGAAATTCATCTCACAGCTTTTGCTTTTCCTTATATTCTTCATGATTGAGAGGAGAGACACTACTTACTGTAGTGTAAGCAAAAAACGCGAGTTGAAATGCATTCTGCGCAACATATATAAACATGTAATAATAGTGAGATTAATTCAATGTATTCATTGTAATAATATAAATAGAAAATGAAACTTTCTGGTCCCTCAAATTTACTCAATTATTGATCTGGTCCTAAAAATTTGATCCCCATTAAGTAAGTCCCTAAAATACATAATCATATACAGTTAGTTTCAATGGTGTTATTTCTCCTTCAAACTACATGAATTTAATAGATAAAGATTAAGTTTTGAAGAACAAATAGATAATTTAAAAATAGTATTGAAGGACCAAAAGTTTCATGATCATTATCCCACGTGCAGTAAATGTGACCTGGAAGAGAACGAAATGCATGAGATTGAGGAGGAAGCGAGGGCGATTGAACCAGAAGAGTTCGTCGCCGGGCTCCACCACCGGTGCCCCCTTCACCACATCACCTCTCTCTGCAATCCTCAGACCCATCTGTGTGATTATCGTTTGCAGCTTTGCACCCACCACTAAAATTATCTGCAATGTCATATATTTATATCCAACTTTCATTATCACTTTCAATTCAAACTTATAACAATAACATCATCATTATCAAAATCTCATCAAGTTAAATCATTATTAATATCAAGATATTAAAAACTAAATTGATTATTGAACTAATCAAAATATTAATTCAAGGGTTAATAATTAAAAAAATGGTTAAACCATTGTCAAATTAGTCATAAATAAAGCATTTTATTATATCGACAGTTAAGACATTGGTTTAATACAGTTTACCAGTTTAATTAGATAAGTTAACTTTAATTTTCATATTATGATTGATATACACTCCCTGTCACCTAGTATAAGTATTCCCTAATAAAATTCATTAGATATTGGTTACAGTCTTTTTAAAATATATATATATATATATAAATTACTAAAAATATTCTTTATTTAATAAAACCTTAACATCAAAATAGAGAAAGAGATATGATAAGGAGGGACAAGAATAATTAATGAAACATCATTTTGGTCAAAATGTCTTATATTTTGATATATCTATAAAAGTGTCTTATAAATTAGGATCAAGGAGTAATAAAATGAGGAGAACTTTATTTCCAACTTCAACAAATATTCAATGTGATATTTACAAAAATACTCTTCATATATAATTATTCATTCAACTATCCATTTACTCCGTGAGATCTTATTTATAAGATAATAGGAGGATGGGTTTTGTGATTTTTTTTTTGAATAAATACCTCGTTGATTGTTTATTACAATTTTCTCCTTTTATTCCTATTTTAAATTGTTGATGCATGTAGGAAAGTATGAAATTTCCTTAAAAGATGTAAGTAGGAAACTTATTAAATCTTTAAAAAATTAATAAGTTTTGAAGTTTTTTTTTAATTTTGATAAACAAGTATTGAAAATGATTTATAAATAACATCAAATGAGTATTACTCTATCCTACACCCATTCATTGTTTATACTCTCTCCATTTCAATATAAGATATTTTTAAATAAAATTACACAAATTAATAAAACTCATTAAATACACTTGATTAATAAAAATAAAAATTTTTAAAAAATGTCTTTCATTTGATTCTTTATTTATAAAAAAATATTAATGAGAAAAAATATATAAAAAAGGTACTATTAAAAAAGTATCATTTATGAAATTTTATTTTTGACAAAGTGTCATATATTTTGGTACGATACATCTCCCTAAAAAATATTCTATAATTTAAAAGAAGGAAGTATCAAGTAACAGAGGCATTATAAGTCTCATATATAGATTAACCTAAGACTTTTTAAGGAATTATAAAATAAAATAAATTGTATAGACAATGGAGTGCCGATTGCTTACGATTAATGGGATGAACGGAATCCAATAATAAGGGTACCATCCTGTCCAACAAAAGAGTCAACAAGGTGATCAGTAGAATAAAAATAAAGATGAGCTTATATCTAATTCAAAATCCAGATTTCACCAAAAAAAAAAAAACAAAACAAAATCTAGATTAGTATCATATTAATTTAATATAATTAATCGTTCAATACACGTTTGTGAGGCATAAACATATAAAATTAAATGGAAGTTAATTAAAGTATCTGTGATTTTAAAGCTCAACCGTATCTAGTTTGGAAGCTTGAAATATGAAAAGTATGTAGCTTACCGTAAGTGTTTGTCAACAAGACCAAGACTGCAAAGATCCATAAGGTTGGGCTGAAAATACCAAAAGCTTAAGCTTGATTATCAGGCTTAACTGCATCTGAGAGTAAACTAAGAATATTGAAAGTAATTGTACTAATTCAAAGAGTTGGATATATAATATAATGATTGCGTAAATTAATACCTTATTCCAACGACAACCTTAAAGTCTTCGTCAAGTGACCTTTGGATGTATTTCTGGAAATCGAACCTTACTTCACTTCCCGGAGCCAAATGTGCCTGTAAAGATAATTACAAAACTTTGTTATAGTTCTAAGTATGGTTACTGTGTTGCGCTATAATTGTCCAGTAATCTTGACAGATATGCGAATTAAGTCAAGATTAAAGCTTAATCACCATGATAAAACCGTGCCTAAGTGCCATGTAATCAACCTTGGTCACGGATCCATAGAACTGCCTGAAGAAGCTTACCTGATGATGTAAATAACCACAACATGCACAATTAATTAATTTTTATTATTACTAATTAATGGCCTCATCAAATTTCAAACCAGTAGATTTTCAAGGAATATAATAAAAATATGCCAAGTATAATAATAAAGGCAGAGTCTAAATTAAAATTCCAAAAAAACTTTTTTTTAATTAATTGCTGACTTACAATCCATAAGGAAATTGATGATTGACTCCATATGTTCAAATGCCTTCGTCCAAATGTTGTGTCTCTAGTAAACCTGAACCTCTCTGGATCTGTAGTACATATATGGAACTACTCATACATATATCATATAATAGCCTAATAGGTCAAAAAAAAAAAATCTAAGGATATAACAGAACAAAAAATAAAATTACTTAGTTAAAAAGGATAATTACATATGTGTCCTCTATATTTTCAAGAATATACATATAATGGCTTTATTTATTTCATGTTTACAAAAATATCTTCCACGATAGAAAACGAGGGTTTGACTTTTGTTCTGGCCCCATTAAATTGAAATCATATATAGTCAATACATATGGCTTCAAATTCAATTGACGTCAATCTCAAATTGGTGGCGTGTGGGACTGCAATGCGACAATATGTACGAAGTCGTTTGCCTCCATTAAGAAATGCCTCCTTTACGTCTCCATTAGATAGAAAAAAAAATTTTGAATAGCCTAAATTAAATATTTTTAATTTTTATTTTAAATTTATATTTTTAAAACAAAAAATATATAAAAATTATAAAAAATTTTAATAAATATACTTATCAATTCAATAATTCAGATTTAACATGAATGGTTAAAATTTAATATTAAATATTTTTTAATAAGTTTACTATTCTATTCAAAATATATATACTCTTTAAAATATATTTAAAAATTAATTTAAATTTTTAATATTAAAGTTAGATCATTCATATTAAATTTGAACTGTGAAATTAATAAATATATTTATTAAATTTTTTATATATTTTTATTTTAAAAATATAAATTTAAAATAAAAATTAACAATTAACAATTTAGATTTTTTTTTTTTTTTTGTCTCAGTAGAGAGGTAGAGTAGGTTTCCTTGGGTGGAGGGAAGCGACTCCAATATGCATACAACGTTCCAAGTTGCAACTAGGCCACTTGGTATGTGGTCGTTTTCGCAGTTAACGTGTCCACTGTGATAATAATCCGTATTCTTGGGTTAGGTGTCACATTAAACAATCGCGGGACCCAATTAAATTTTGTATAGTTTTTTTTTTATTTTAAACTAAGAAAAATTTATGAAATATCTTCGTTGGCTAAAAAATACTCTCTCCTGTATTAAAAAAAAAGAAATACTCTATCCATATTTATATATAAAATATTTTTAATCTAATCACACAACACATATTAATAAAAGGTTATTATTTAATCAAAATTCTATTAAATTTTAGAAATTTTTTAATTTTGTCACTAATAATATCAATTAATATTATGACGGTAATGAATAAAGTACACAGTCAATATTTCTTTTTTTCTTTTAAGACAAGAATAAAATTATTTAAATACTTAAAAATATTATGACATTCTTTATATTTGAAGACAAAATAAATTTTTAAAAAATACCCTATATATAAAAATGGGGGAATATTTTAATGAAAGAAAAGATATTTTTAAATTTTGGGTTAAGAGATAGTGTGAAACTCATCGCATGTGTGTGTCCTCTTAAATGTTAATTATAAAGTGTTGTGTTTGTAAATTATTTTATCCAGTCTCGGGTATAAGATAATAAGGAGAAAAAGATTTTTTTTATTTTATTTATAACTCATGTCATTAATTTTTTTTAAAAAAATAAACTTTAGATCCTTGTATTTTATTATTGATCCCTACACTTTTTATTTGGTATTTTAGATCTCTGTATTTTTATTTTTTATTATTTTAAGTCCTTTCAAGGTTCCTATACTTTATTTATAGAGGGATCTAAAATAATTAAAAATAAAAGTGTAGAGACTTAAAACATTAAAAAAATACAAGAACCCAAAATTATATTTTCTAATTTTTTATCATGAGTTTTTCCTTTTTATCTCTCATTAAATATTAGTGAGAGAAAATTTGTTATTAAAAGGTGTGTCTATTTATATTTAAAAGAGATAAAATTAAAACCTTATCAAATTTTTAAACAAGATTAATGAGTTTTAATATATTTTTTATTTTAATAAAATATGTTAGAAGTGATTTATAAATAAAAGTGAAGGAAGTATAAAACATATTAGATAAATAGAAAGCTTACCATTATGGAATTGATAATCAGAAGATTTGGTCTCATCCTCCCACTTCTTCCAAGTTCTCATCTACATACAATATATTTTATATCCAATGAATCAAACAAATTAAAGAACTTGGAAATGAAAAATATGGAAAAAAAATAAAAAATAAAAAATAAAAAGAAGGGGAAGGAAAATTAAAGGACCTTGTATCTGCCAAAAGCCAAGGTAATAATGCACTGAAGAATGTGAAATATTGCGAGCACAAATATGAAAATGTGTAGCTGATGGATGGCGTATGCAGACACAAATCCAACTCTACCCTGCAAAAACATGTTCATATAAACCTAACATAATTAATAATAAATAAATAAAATATCATACGCAACATAAATCAAATGAAAATGAGATATAACGCATATAGATATATAAGCATTGGTATCATTATACAATACATCGAATAAGATATTTTTAAATTTTTGGATATGGGTATGAAAGATACATGTATTTTTAATAAGAAAAAAGTTTGAAGTTTGAAAAATTATTTTAAAAGTGATATAAAAAATTAAGCTTCTCATTAATTTTTGAGCACTGGTTGTACCATTTTTGGGGGAAAGGACAATGATAGTATGATACAAGTATAGTATGTGTCTCATGATTTTTTATGAGCATTAGTACTTTACGAAGAAATGAGTAAATTTGAAAATCAATAAAAATGAATTATTATTATTATTATTATTAGTGGTAGAAATGAGGGAGAAGGAAGTAAAATTAAAGGGGAAAGGGCAAGGGGAATTGCCTTTCCGCATTCGTTTGGACCCTTAGCGGCGAGGGAACGGCGAGGGGTGGAATCGGAGGAGAATTTGAGTGATTTGACATATTTGCCCTTGCTGTCATAAGAAGAGCCGGCACAAGGCCTCCACGTGTCGGCTACTTCTCTTGAAATGCACATACGACCCGAAATGGGATATTGCAGCACCGTTAGCAAAAACGATATGAATCCCAGCAACATCAGCTCTATCATCATTCAACACCACATTTTAATTTCAACAGTTATTAATTCCACACGGTATAAATAAATATAAAAAAAATCTTGTGAACCTAAAATATATGTTTTCGGTCCCTATATATCATCATTGCGTATTTAATATAAAATATAAAATTTATAAAACCCTGCTCCCTTTAATTTTATTTATAAAACACATTTTAAAATATTTATTTAATCTTATTTATAAATTATGAAATAATTTGTTAAGTAATATTTAAAAAATATTTTTAAAATTATTCTTTTATAAAAAAAATAAAAAATTATTTTTTAAATTTTTTATATAAAAATATATTTAAAATTTACACATCTTTATTTTTTTAATTAATATTAATAAGATTGATAAAAATAATTTGTAAAGAGTTATATATACATCAATATTGACGAGGGCCCACCTCATATATTAAATGATCCCTGCATAGTAAATGGCGATGTTGTCAACTCAAGTACTCCCAATTACTTTATTATAATAAGATATTTTGTAAAGTCTAAACTATAATTAATATATACTTTTTGAAGACATTCCTTAAAAAGAGTATTTCTGATTAATTAATAGAGAAAGGAGGGAATAGTGTTAAATGAAAAATATTCACGAAAAATAAGATAATTTTAAAAAAGAAAGATTAATTTTTTGTGTTGTGTCAAATAATTAAATACATCGGGTTAAAAATAACATATGGAGTTTTTTTCTTCAAAAAAAAAAAATAACCGAATCCCTCAAAAACAAAATCAAATTTACAATTTTTTTAAAAATAAAAAGGTAATCAACCAATCAAGTTATCCTTGAAAATCCGCCGAACAAGTTATCCTTGAAAACAAACAGCGCCTTACCTAGATATACAATATTCAAATATCATATCTAAAACCACGCCACAGTTAGAGTGTAAGAATATAAGAACACAAGAGAGAGGGGAACAAATGGACGAATAATAGGAAATTTAATTTAATCTCATATCAGCTGCAACTCAACAGAACAGGATTCGAACAGAGTTTTTTTATTTTTTCCTGGATCTCCAGAAACAGAGGAAGCAAGAGAGGAGATGGAGTTAGTTAATTAACGAGACGAGGGTGTATTGTAGTGTACCTTCTTTGACCTTTTCAAGGGCTTCATAAAGAGCATGCTTGTTCTTCTTCTCTAACCACTGCAAGTATACAGATTCTTCATAAGTTGCAGAACATGAATGAACTTGAACTTACTCGATCAATACTATAATCATGACTACACAGATCAGATCATATCGTGAAGGAACTTGATAATTACTTTTCCAATAGCGTGAATGATATGTTCGATTAAGATTGAAATAGCCAGCAACACAAAGCACACCACCGCCACTGCCCACGTCGCTGTTTCCTGCAACTCTCTTTCGTACTCTTTTTCTGAATCCATTTTTCAAAGCCTCTGTTCTGATCTCTGCTTGCTCACACACTGTCTTACAAGCTACTTATATATGTTACGCACACAACTCAGAATTTGAGAAGCTAAATGAAGAAGGAGAAGGAGAAGGAGAAGGAGAAAATGATTGGTTTAACGGATAGGAAAGGGGGCTTGGGAGACTTTATCTATATGTGTTTATGTGTTTAAATAAAAGGAGGAAAATGAATGACAGTGAGAGAGAGAACGAAGATTGACAATTCGAAGTCTGGGTCAGTAATGAATTAATGAATACGGAAGAAGTCTCCTACCCAAGCCAAATAAATAAATATTTTTTTAAATTAAAATACACTCAACCTAATCTTTATATCCTCCCTCCATTTAATATTATAAAATATTTTTTTAGAGTATCATATTAAAAAAATTATTCAAAATATCTCACTAAGATTTTATTTGCTGATAAGAACTTGAGATAATTTCTAAAACATGGTCCTCCTTTAACATTAAATCAAACTGCATGATGCTCATTTTGCCTTTATTACATTAAAAAAAAAATGCACGCGAAGCTCTTCTCCTCAAGCGTGTGATCATCTGCAAACTCACGTTTGATTCTATTTGATGAAGCTTTGCATCCAACAATCAAGTTCACGACTTTGTTAGATCAAGTCATTGAGTATTTAATGACGAAGGTAAGGTACTGTTTGGTTTTTTGTTTTCGTTTGGAGATAGTGGAGTTTGGTTATTTGAGTTTTAGATTATTGTTGAAAGAGTTTGAACGAAGTATTTGCTTTGTCACTTGCTCATTCCATAAGTGTATTGGCTCACATTTCAGAAGTTAGTAATACTTAATATAAAATTTGATAGAATAATGTTATAATTTTCTTTTTCCCTTCCACGTTGAAAATTGTAGATGTATATAACATTCTTATAAGTAAGGAACTGAAAAAAAAAATATTATGTTTCTTTCACATGAGGGAAATATTATTATTAACAAAGGGAGGGTGTAATATGTTGATGGTAGAGTAAATGGAAGAATAATAATACTTTAATATCAATTGATAGGTTAAGAAGAAAAATATGTTCATATTTAGGGTGTGAACTTAAAGGATTGAAACTAAAATATACACTGCAGGAATTAGATGAAACTATTGTTGTAGACTTGAAAGATGATGAAAGATTTCAACAATTAATTGAATTTAATAAAAAAAAGTCTGCACATGTTTATATAATTGAATGTGTAATTGAGTGTAGAAATGAAATTGAACCTATACTGAATTCAAAAGGGTTAGATTGTATAAAAACCTCATTTGAATTATTTGTTATTGGATCCTTGTCAAGTAAGGGAAGTTAAGAACTTTCATGTTTAATTCAAAGTACACCTGCCGCTTTTGTTGGGCTACCTAAACTTTGAAAATGAAGAAAAACAAGAAGAAATGACTCTGTGCTATATGTCGTGACATGTGCATGGCATGCCACAGCACATGAGCTACTAGAAAATGAGGAAGCATTATTTGTACCAACCACATGCTGTGATGCATGTTCACATTTTTATAGAAATAAGAACACGAAACAGACAAAAAATAGGAGAGAAACAAAAAGAGGAAACAAGGAGCTCATGGAAATCTTTGCTATGGCTTACAATTTAAAAGCTTTGGGAATATTTTGAAACTTCTAAATACTAGATGTAAATTTTCTAAGCTTAAATCTATCTTTCTCTTGCATTTTCTTAATATTGGGAGTTAAGGATTGTTTGAGAGAGATAATTTTCGGTCCATAAAGGCTATAGGTCCAAACTCATTAACTTGAATAGAGTTAATGAGAGTTGTTTAGGTTATTTAAACCTAAAATTTATGGCATTATGAGTTTTAGTAGTTAGGGAGTAAAAAATACTTGAAATTCCACCATAAATGATGTGGTTAGAGCAATGTGAAGCCATTAAAAGCTAATTGGGAGTTCACTTAAGTTAATGTGAGTTAGAGGAAGCTAATAAGTTCTATGAGTACTCTTGTATATGAGGAGATTGAGTTGAAAAAATTTACAATTGTTGAGTAGGTGTTGGAAATAATCCTAAAAAAGGATATTGACAATTGTGATATCATTTATTGTAAACTAATTACCTATTGACACCATTCAAGTTTTGTGAAAGCTTTGGAAGTGAGTAATTAAGGGATGAACAACCTTTCAAAGGTTTGAGGTAACTGGGAGAAATCTCTCTTATACTTTTGTGTGTTAATTGATCTATTAATTTATACATTATGATTGAATTGTGTGAAATTATTTGTAATGCAAGTGTGGCATAAAATATTTGAAAATCAAATATTATGTTTTATGGAGTTCTATGACATGATTTGTGTAGAGTTTAATGAAATAATGTTTATAGAGTATAATGACATGATTTGTGTGGAGTTAATGAAATAATGTTTGTGGAGTTCAATGAATATTTATAAGCAAAGTTCAATGAGATGTTGTTGTATGTGGAGTACAATGAAGTGATATGATATGGAGTTCAATGATTTGTTGTTATGCGGTTATGTGATAATCGTGTGTGATATGAGTACAATGATAATATTGAGCATACCTATAAATTGAGTAATTTACATGCCAAGGAATATTACATTTTATACATTGCATGATCATGAGAGGTAGGAGTTCACCTATAAAGAGGAATAGTGAGTTTAAAAATTCATGTGATAAGGCTACCATTAGAGCTCAATAGTTTTTTTGAATTTACTATTATTATTGTTCCACTTGTTCGATGAAGAACTATCCCATTATGTAATAAGGGACTTGAACCTACTTTAATTTTCACTTGTTCGATGAGGCAGCCAGTTTAGGAAGAATGACACTCTATAGTATGAGATTTAGAATAAACCATGACCCACAAGTAAGTTAAGCAATCTTGATTGGGTAGCTTCTCATGCATGAATGATTAGGATAGTCTCATCACATGGTCAATCCCAGTATGAAATAGCCAACAGTTTCATGTCACAGGCATAAAGAGGATATAAGAGAAGTATAATTATGTATATTGTAAAAAATGACATATGGTTGTTTGTATTGGACCCTAGTGATGAAAATCATGTGATTAGCCTTATATCAATGTGAAATTGAGTTATCATGCCATTATCTCATGAATATATGCTATTATGAATGTGAAATGCATATATGTGTTTTAAAACATGCTAAAATGATATAAGTATATATAGATTGTTACTTACATTTAAATTGATTGACATGCATTAGTATAAATTAGATATACCTTAGTTACTGAGTAGTTATACTCATCACTCTCTCTTCAATATTACAGGAGTTAACTTATCAAGACAAGACTTAAGAAAATAGACTGAGGCTTAGGATTTTGGTCCTCAAACTGCAAGCCTATTTTATTTTGAGTAATATATATGTATAATTAATGATAATATTGCTAACTAGGAGTTTACATGCACACTTACTTGCATTATGTGTTTGTTATGGTTACAATGCATATTTTAGGCCCTAAGTTGTGTATGTATTAATTGTGAAGTTTAAATAAAGGCCAAAATACTAATGCAAGTGAGAGATGAGTATTTCATGTGATTGATGATTATTAAAGAATGATTTATGCTATTGAGGCTCTCCCTTCTATTTTTGTGTTTAAGGGGTTGAACATTGAAATGTATTGAATGTGTTAGACTTGTGATGTGGTGTATTGTACAACTCTGTTATAGTATATTAAGTGTAGTCTAGGTGTGTTTTGGGCTTTTGGCATTTCGAATGAAATTGGGATACTCAAGTTGTGTTTAAACTGTGAAAAGAAGTGAGTTGAGAAATGAATTTTAATTTTTGACTAGGAAATAATTTGATTATGAAATTAATGCCATTAGTTAGAGTTAAGAGAAAGCTCTCCGTAGACACCTAAATCGCCTCAACCGAATGTCGGACGGAAAAATTGGGCACGTTGGAAATCTACCACAATTGTTATCAAATGACAGCAACAATGTTATCAAAAAAGTGTAATACACCATGGTGTATAGCACAGAGGCATATGTGTTGTTGTGCATGTGAAACAAGCCGTGATGCACCTATTTTTTACTACACTATTTTTTGTTTTCAACTTTATTGTAAATGTTTTGATTTGTTTAAGATCCCACGCTTTTACATATATCTTCAACTTTGATTTTTGACCTACAAAGATATATTGAAGTGTTTAAATTTTAAAAACTTGAGATCCTCAATTTGTAAAACTTACAAACTTGGTAATCCTTTTGGAGTTGATCTCTTGATTATCTTGATTTTGGAGTTAAACAAAGATTAATAAGGGAAACCTTACAAATCCCATTAAAATATCAACTAACATCTTATCTATCACTAACCTCACATTTCTAATGAATATTGATAAAGTTGTTGGGTCAATCGCTCTAATAACTTCAGCGCATAGAGCATGGCATAATTTGGTGCACCTAATATCTAGAATCTTCCCAAACCACATATGTGGGATTTTGGATACTCTTGAGTTATGAAAATATATTTGAGTGTTTATTTTCTTTGTGTGAAATAATTTAGAAGTAAAATCTATGCCATTAGCTAGTTTATGAAAAGAGCTTTTTGTAGACACCTAGATCACCTCATTCAAATGTCGGACAAAAAAAATAAGGTGAGTAAAAGTCAACCCAGGCTGCTGTCATTTGATAGCAAAATGCTATCTGATACGTGCAACATGCCGTAGCGTATAACACAGAGAAGGACAGCTACGATGCAGGTGCATATGTCGCAGCACTCTGTTTTTTATCACTTGTTATTTTTCAACTAATTTTAAGTCCTTTGACTCCTAAGAGGCATCTTATACTTTCAAAAAAAAAATTTTACTGTTATTTGAGTTTTATTAAATGATATTTAAATAATTTAAATTATGAAAAACTTGGGATCCCATTTCTACAAATTACAAACTTAGTAATCTATTAGATTAGTCCATTGATTGCCTTAGATTTTGAACTTTATTATAATTAAGTAAGAGTGATGTTACACCTTAATTATGGGTATTTTTAAAAAGAGCAAGACTTATATACTAAGTCTTATATACTTAATATATTTTTATCTAATTAAATCAAGACATGATGATTTTAATGTGTTAATAGTATTAATAAAAAGAATTTATTGTAGAATAAATAATTATAAAAAATTCACTTGTCTTAAATATATAAAGTAGGGGTATATAAGTGTTTTTCCCTTTAAAAAATGATATTAATCATACCTTAAAAGACTCAAGAGATCTTATATTTTTTT